CTCTCTCCCTGCCTTCCCCTGCCCTCTTCCTCCTCCCCACCTCCGTAAGCTCTCCGTCTTCATCCTCTCCCTCCTCTCCTCCACTCCCTGTCCTCCTCACCCATCTTGCTTCCTTCTGAAACTGCTCACCCCTCTCCCCCCTCCACCCCACCATCTTCCTCTTGTCCTTTTCTTCTCTCTTCCTCCCGTCATCCTGTCCTTTTGTCCTCCTCTCCCTTCTCTCTTCTTCTTCTCCACTTCCTCCTGTTCTATTCCACTCCCTTCTGTTCTCTTCTCCTCAGCAGCTCCCTCTTCCTCTGCTCCCACTGTTCTCTTCTCTCCTTTCCTCCTCTCTACTTGTCCTCCCCCTCCTACTCTCTGCCGTTTTCCCATCCTCCTCCTGTGCTCTCCCTCCTCCCTCCTTCCTTTTCTCTCCTCTCCTTCTTCCTCCTCTCCTCCCTCCTCCCTCCTCTCTCCTGTTCCTCCTCCCTCCTCCCCTTCCCCCTCCTTCCTCTTCCTCCTCCCCTTCCTCCCTCCTCCCTCCTCTCTCCTTTCCCCCTCCCTCTCCTTCTCTCCCCTCTCCCCCTTCCTCTTTCCTCTCTTCCTCCTCTTTCTCCTCCCTCTCCCTCTCCTCTCCCTCCTTCTCCTGTCCATCCTCCCTCTTCTGTAGTTCTTCCTCTCCTCTCTCCTCTCCCACCTCCCTCCTCTCTTCTCTCCTTTTCCCCTCCCTCTCCGTTCTGTCCTTCCCCCTCCCTCTCCTCCTCTCCCTGCTCCCTCCTCTTCTCCCCCTCCTTCCTCTCCCTCTTCCCTCCTCTCCCTCGCCTTCTCTTCCCCTCTCCTCTTCCTCCATCTTTCCTTCTCCTCCACTGTCCTCTACTTCCCCTTCCCTCCCATCTTCCATCGGTGCCCTCCTCCTCCCTCCCTCCTACCCTCCCTCCCCGCACTGCCCTCCCTCTGGACCTGCCCCTCAGCCCTGCCTCCTCCGGTCCTTTTCTCGCCCCTGCCCACCCCCAGTGGCCCCTCTTCTCTCAGTGTAGACACTCTCACGTGGCTCTAGGCTCTTCTCAGCGCTCGCCCTCCTCTCACCTTCTCTTGCCCTCTCCTCCTCCCTCGGTTCTCTCCCTCTATGGCCTCTGGCCCCCATGCCTGTCCTGTCTCCCACCTCCCCCTTCCTTGCCCGTTTTCTCCACTCTCCTTGGCTTCCACTCCTGTCTTCTCCCTCCTGGCCGCCATGGTTGCCCCCTCTTCCTTTCCCTCTGCCGCCAGGCTCCCTGCTCCTCCCTCTCCCATGCTGTCTCCCTTGCTCTTCAACCCCCAGGAGATCCCCCGGGCTAGGGCAGCAGTGCCACCCAGTGCCTCCAGCCCTGGGAGGACCTCTGTGACCCTGTTCTCTTTCTTTCTGTCTGCCGGGGATGCCGGACACTGCCTGGAGGACCAGGCCACCTTAGGACCAGGAACCCGGAACCAGAGAGGCGATCTGCCCAGGTCACACAGCAGGTGAGTGGCAGGCCCAGTCCCAGAGTCCGCGGCTGAGGCCTCCTGCTCTCTCCGCTGCCGGTCTCCCCTCTCCTCAGGCAGCAGGACGAGCGGCACAGCGGTGGGACACAAGCCTCGCATCTCCAAGACCACGCGCTGCTGGTAGAGAGCTGGCCTAGGAAGAAAGACGGAGAGCTGCAGGACTCGCCGCCAGGGCTTCTGACCCCGCTCACCTCTGCCGGCTGCGGACGGAAATGCAACCCTGCTGTTAGACTGACCTAAAGTGAAGAAACCAACCTGCGGGAGGGGAAGGGGCTGTTGAGTGGGTGAAGAGGGACAATTCATAAAACATGGTGCAAATAAACACTTTTACTAATATGTACACATCTTGCTCCGCAAGCTTCTGTTTGCAGCCTATGCCCCGCCCCCACCCCTCCACATCCCTCAGTGGGTGGGCTCTCCTGGCCCTTCCAGAGGCAGCTGGGGCGAGGGTGTGGGCTGCAGCAGCCGTGAGAGCTGCACCCCTGGGCCCAGCCACATCACGCAATCCCGTCATGCCTTGCTGTATGGGGCAGGTGTGAGTGGTGATGAGCCCAGCTCCTTGTCTGGGGTCGCCCTGAGGGCTAGAAACCTCTGCAGTTGCTTTTTCAAGCTGCCTACAGGGCAGCAGCCTAAAGCGTCCTGAAGTCTGCTTCTGGTGTCCTCAGTCCACACCACAGCCTCATGCTAGGGACACCTGAATGCCAGCTGGAGGCCAGGGCCCCTGCAGGCCAAGTGGGGCGGGGCAGGTGGCAGGACGCCTGATCCAGACAAGGGTCCTGGCCCAATGTCCAGCATCCTCTCTGTCCCTGAAGCACACTGTACCACTGAACCAAGGGACTGCACGTCTGATGGTCAGAGGGTTTGAGCTAGTGCCAGGCTTGGGGACAAATCTGGTGTGAAGGGCAGTGGCTGAGATGAGCAGTGAAAGGGCACACACTGTGACACACTCAGACCCCCAAGTCTCATCTGGCCCTGTTAGGGTTTGCATCCAGGGACCCCCAAAAGCTTCATGTATTCATGGGTGGGGCTTCCCTGGGGCAACAGGATGTGGGATGTGTGACACTGGAGTGAATGGCGTATAGGACCAGGTGCAGCATCCAGATGGTTCGGCACAGTTCCGGGTGTGGGTGACGGGAAGGCCCACCCTGGGTGTGGGTGGCACCACCACCACCATCCCACAGGTAGCGTGGATGGGACAAGCGGAGAGGCCCGCTTGCTGCTTGCTGTCTTTCTGCCTGCCCTGCATGAGCTGTTCCCCCTTCCCTGGGGCCAGCCGACAGTGGACTGAAACTTCTGCAAACTATGAGATCAACTTTTCCTCCTTCAACTTTGGGTGTCAGGAATTTTGTCCCAGCAACAAAGAAGATACGCCTACTGGTGCGTACAGAATGATGTAGGGACATGGGCGCTCCTGCAGTGCTGTTCTGGACACCACAGAGACCACTGGCGGGCGGCGAACGACATTCACAGATGTCACTGAGCCCGAGTCACAGAAGAGATGGAAACCTCACCACCTGTTGAGGGCCGCATGGGAGAGGAACAACACACTTCCGCAGAACGGAGCATTTACAATCCCAGAACAATGAACAGGCAACAGAAAGCCCAAGCAGCCTCCAGCATGCGGAGCTGGGGCACGGACTGCAGTCCCGAGCACCTGACTGCATTTGCATGAGCAGGTGCTTAAACAACCAAGCTGGCAGGCCTTGACTTTACTGAAAATAAATGAGAAAATAACAATCGTTGGGAGGTGGCCTTGTACAAAGGCCCTGGGTTCAATCCCCAGGGCCCACTACAAAAGCAAAAGCACGTGCTGCCAGCAGGTCCTCTGAGGGCCTCGACGGCCCTGCTGCTGGAAATGAGGAACAGTGGTGACACAGGGCCAGGTTTCTGCCCTCTTGGACTGGCCCAGACCCCAAGTCTGAGACGCTTGCTGGCAAGCCCATCAGGGGGAACCAGGCCAGGCAAGTGGTCCACAGGGCAGTGGGGGTCATCCTTGCCCATGGACAGGGCCTTATTCCAGCAGTGTCCGAGTGAGGGTGGAGAGAGCACATTCCAGCTGGCAAACGCACCTCATGGCGCGGAAGGAGACGCGTGGTCAGCGGCCTTCGCTGTGCAGCCCCTGTGCTGGGAGTCACGCTGGGAGAAGGCACACCAACTGGGCAATAGCAGCTGCCCCATCACATGCTCTGGACAAACCGTTCCCATGCTGCTGCTGCCTCATCCTCGGTAGCACTGTCCATGGCCCCAGAAAGCAGGATACGGGAACGGAGTTGGGTATTTAGGAACAGTTTAATCCACTGCCACCTGACACAGCAGTGCTGATGCCACGCCAGCGGTAGCCACTGTCACGTTTCTGCATTAACATCGTGAGCAAATGGTAGGGTCCCATACAGCCCGGACGCCAGGCTGTCAGAAGGTGGAAGTTTTCAAAACGTGTGCTGCAATATCGTGTGAATATTCTTAAATAGACGCAAATGACCAGTCAGGCCACGGTTTTGTTCTGACACCACACATGGGTGGCCGTCTTGGGATGGCGGATGCAGAAGGGGCTCTGTCTACACCAGCTGACCCTGACTCCACCCGCTGCCAACTGCAGGCCTGGGAGGATACCAGGCGCTTCACCTGCTGCGGGCAGACAAAGGCCGCATACAGGCTGAGCAGTGCTGCAGGGTGGGGAAACCGGGGCCCCATGTCCTCAGGGGGGAAGCCCAGGACACCCTCAAGGGAAGCTGGCTGAAGGCCTGGGGCCCAGTCCAGCGTCAAGGGAGGTGTCGGGGCCATAGCAGGCAGGGAAGCAGGCCTGGGCAAAGGCACCACGGCTGGAGAGAAGCTGGCGTGTGCCCAGCTGCAGGGCTGGAGCAGTGGCGGGGCCAGTGGCACAAAGGGGCTGGGACTCCCACTGAGGACAAACAGAGCCCAGAGGCTAAGGTGGAGCTGTGGGGGTGGGATACAGCAGGAGCACCCCAACTCCACAGGACCTCTGTCAACAGGAAGAGAGGCTGGGGAAGACAAGGGGCTTCCAGGAGGGGTGTCCATCTGTGCTCCTAGGATGAGAGAGCACAGCTGCACCTCCAGGATGACCAGGAACATGGGGGTCTCTGGGTACAAGGGGATTCCAGGGGCAGAGGATAACCAGCCAGTCACCGGTCACCGGCCACTGCCCCCTCCACCACCCCCACCCGCACCCCCACTCTGGCCCCCAGCATCCGGAGCTCCTGACATCATGAGGAACAGGACCACGGGAATGATGTACATCCACTGCAGGTGAAGGAGCCGGAGGACAGACACACGGACACAGAGAGACAAAGGGAGGTGAGTGTCTTCTGGGACCTGAGGCCCAGGAGCCCGGCATGAGGGGGCGCATGGGGGGGGCCCAGGTCCCCTACATCACTACAGGCAGGTGGGGCAGAGGCGGGAAGGGGTCTCAATCCTCACTCAGGCCTCTTGCGGCGGCGGCGTGGGCCCCAGGGCAGCAGGACGCAGGGCCGTGAGCAACACGGCCCCCCCCAGGATGAGGTGCCACTGAGGAGGGAGGGGTGCAGGTCAGGAGGCTCCTGCGGCTTGGCAGCCCTCGAGCAAGTGGTAGGGCCTCTCTGGGCCTCAGTTTCCTGTGGCCGGTGGGCTCCGCAGACACAAGGAGCTGCTCTGGGCATCTGGGACTGCCAGCACCCCTACCCTGGCCCTCAGGTACCTGGCCTTATAGACCCTGAGGCCCAGCACAGGTGTCCAGCCTCCCAGGGCCCTTCCTCCTGCCCACCACAGCTCAGCTCAGGTGAGGCCACCAGCCTGTCTCTGTCCCTGTCTGGTCACACCCTCCATGCTGTGCCCACAAATGCTCATGTCTCTAGGCCCTCCCAGCTCTGGGATGACTCATGAGCCAACCCAGGGAGGGGTTCATGGCCCTCAGCGCCTCCAGCTAGGGCACACAGCCTAGGTGTGCAAAGGACAGACATGTAAAGGACATGTGGGCAGCGGAGGCCGGACCAGCCAAGTGGGTTCTGTGAGGAGTAGGGGAGGCCAGCGCACCACACTCACATATTTGGCGAAAAAGGACTTCTGTTCCTGGGGGTTCTTGGCCTTCTGGGCCTGCTCCATCTCCAGGCGCTCGATGAAGGCTGCTGTCTCGGGACTGGCAGTAAGGAAAGGAGGTGAGGCTAGAGTCTGGGCCCCAGGAGGAGGGAAGCACCTCGCCAGCCCTATCTCCATACTCACCCGGGGGCGGTGCCTGGTGGCCGTAGCCGCACAGAGGTGTTGAACAGCTCCAGGTCCACGTCCTCCACCTCGTGGCCCCGACAGCCCCCAGGGTACGTCACCACCGACACCCCCACCACGTTGCCAGCCACATCCACATGCAGGGTCAGCTGGTCGGAGAGGTGTGACTCCACCAGGGAGCACTGTGGGGTGGAGGGAAGTGGGGCCAAGACCCCAAGGTATCTTTCAAAGCCCACTTTCAACTCCCTGCTTGCCCCAAAAGCATCCAACCTGGACTGAGTCCCCAGAGCCACCCTCCAGGAGCCAGGCCAGGCCTGGGGCCTCCTGATCTTCAAGCAGCCAGGAAAGGCCGGGAGCTTGGGACTGAGGTAGAGCGAGGGCAGGGGAGGGTATCCCTGACTCACCGCAGGGACAAAGGAAGAGACATAGCCGCCAGCCTCTGTGCTGTCCAGGACCCCGGGCTGTCTGGGGACCCGCACCCGGTACAGGCCATTCAGGGCCGCCACATCCTGTGGGATATGTGGGGAGGGCACTGTGAGAGGGACAGTGCCCAGCACCACCAGGCCTCCATCAGGAAGGCCCTTCCCGGTCTAGTCTCACCCACCCTGCACCCCGTACAGCCCACGCCTGGCTGACAGAGTCCATGGGGCTCTGCCCACTGGGCAGCCCTGCTAATAAGTGAGGCTGGAGCATCGGGGCCACCCCACCTGGCACGGGGTCCACACCCTAAGTTCACGAGCAACCACTTCTCTTTGGGATGCAGAATCATGAGGGCACGATGCAGCAGGGCTGCTCGGGGCAAACCTCGCCCTGATCTCTTCCTCAGGGAGGACGTCACGTGCCCACTGAAGTGGGCAGGACTGGGCTGTGCCAGGATTGCGAGGGAGCACAGAGCCAGGCCGGGAGGACCAGGCCTGAGGAGCCAGTAAGCAGTACGACAAAGGGAGCCTCTCGCCTAGCCACAACCACCCGAGGATCTTTCTCCTCACAGCAAAGTTGGCCTAAGTGACTGCGGAAGTCCCAGCTGAGTGTGAAAGCTGAGAGGAGCTTAGGAGGGAAACCCACGGGGGAGAGCTATGCACGGGGCTGCCTGGGTGAGGCCCTGAGGCAGGCACAGCACATCCCAGCACAAAGGCTAACCATGCAGCTCCATGTGGCCATGGGAGACAGCAGCAGGAGGTGCCAGGACCATGCCTGGACCCAGAGGAGGGCTGCAGGGGGCCACAGTGGGCAGCTGGAAAAACTGTTGGATGCCCCCAAGCCCAGCCCAGCCCTGGGGTCACCACTTCACCCGAAGCCGGCCCCGCTCCTCTTCACTGAGTTGCCGCTGCGATAGGGACAAGGTACCATCCTGCTGGTTCCATAGCAGTGAGCCCCGCTTCCGGAAGTGGGCAGTGTCATCTGCATAGAGAAGTTAGTGACCAGTCTGTCACACACACCCTACAACCTGGCAGGGACCGGGAGACCTGGATTCAAACCCCAGCCTGCCCTCTGCTAAAGCCCAGGTGGCTGCTTTGTCCTGAGCCCATTTCCCGTGTGCACCTGCATCACACCGGCCCTCCTGCTTCCCACAGCAGCAAAGCTGCTGCATTAACCCCAAAGCATCCAAGGGCTACCCTTAGGTGGCCCTGCGACAGTCACATAGCCTTTGTAAGCCTCAGTTTCCTCTGGCTGACCAGGGCCTGGCAAGGGGCCCCAGCTTCACTGCACCCACCAGGGCCTTTGCTCCACTACTGGGCCCTGGGCAGGCTGGCAGCTGGTTCTGAGCCTACCTGTCACTGCTGTTTCAGTTAGGTTTGGGACCTGGCTCCAGCTCTGCCACTCACTGACCAAGGGACTCCACAGGTGCCCACTGACTCTGTCGCCTTTTCTGGAAGAGGGGGCTTACATCTACAACCCTGCATAACTGTGCCAAGGTAACACACAAAAGCCCTGAGCACTAGCAGAGGAAAGCGGGCAGTGACCAGGAAAGACTGAAATCACTACTCCTGCCTCAGGCCGGCGTTTGTCCTGCAGGTCTGGAGGGCACGGAAAGGCAAGGCTGCTCTCTGGCGTGCCCTCCAACCACCCCTGCAAGGCTGTTAGTAAATGAATGTCAGTCTGCCACCCAACCCACTGTACAGCAGGTATGTCAGGGCCTCACCGATCTCAAAGGAGTGCTCCAGCAGCAGCCCCACTGAGCCACAGCTCTCCCCCTCACGGCCATCAATTCCAACCTGCAGGACAGATGGGAGGTCCAGGTGAGGACCACGGGGCTCTCAACAGGACAGAATCCGCAAAGCCCAGGGCAGACCGACCGGTGGACTGGATGAGGAGTCTTATACTCAGCCTCAAGTTGATCAATGAGGTTTGTTCCCATTCCACTGGGACCGCCCATCATGAATATTCATGATTTGGTCTCCCATTATCTAGAAAGCAAAATCCTACAAACGTGCTTTGAATTTCCCTCCAAAGACCACTATCCCTAGGTCGCTTTCAACCCCCCTCACATTATAAAATATTCGTGAGTTAAAGGCTAGCCTTCCTCTCCTGGGGCTTCCTTGACACGCTAATATGCTAATATCCAAAGTCCTCGTTTTGACCTTAATAGCCTCAATAGCCAAGAGGCCGCTCGAGTTCCGTTCACATCCACTACATTCCAGAGTCTACGCTTTCCTTTTGCTTGGCCTTTACACTTCCCCTACCACGCATCCTCCACGGCCTTATGCCCATGCACCTGCGCGACCCGGTTCTCTAACGTATTTCCAGAACACAGAACTCTCTCCAATCCCTGCAGCGCCCTAGGCCTTCTCATTTAAACCGCGCCCTCGCCTGACGCCCCAGGATTCCATCCAGGCCACGCCCCCTCATGCATATTCACACGGCGGACCCACACCTCTAAGACCGACCTTGCTTCCCCTCACACCCGCGCCTGTCCGCGGCGCCGCCCCTGTCCCATCGCACCCAACACGCGGGCTACAGGTTCCACGAGCCCCGATCCTCTTTCCACTCAGACTTGTGCCCAGGCAGGCATCTCCTGCGTCCGTGTTGCCAAGGTTCTCTCACCTCCGCCTACCCTCTCCATCCTGCCCAACCTCTTTCCACCTTAATCCACCCACGGTCCCGCCCTCCACGCAGAGCGGAGGTGCACTCACCCCCCGTGCAGCGGCCCCAACCCGGCAGCCGTTGCCCCTGGCCCGGCTGGGCGCTGCTGCCACTATCAGTATGAGAAGAAGCAGGCGAGTTGCACCCGCTCCGGCCGCCGCCATTACGACGCCGGCCCACCTCCTACAAACCTACACCGCGGAGCACGCCGGGAGAAATGGAGCCATTCTGACGCTTTACGCGTGCGCCGGCTCCTGCGCCTGCGCATTGGCGCCTAGCTCACTAGGTGCCTGAGGTAGACTGGCTGCCGCCCCGACGTCCAAGTCCTACGGGCCGGTCCTTCTGGTGACGTCACCATCACGGCATCCTCTATGATGGCATCAAACCTGGTCCGCCTTGTTATGATGTCACCCTACCCATGGTTCCCGCCCTTTTTTTCTTCCGCGGCATCTCCCTCCGTGTCCACCAACGGGCGGGGCGTTGGGACGATGGGAGGCAGGAGCCTAAGTCGGCCTTCCGTGCAGTGGGCGAGATGGGATCAAGTGGGCTGGCAGGTGAGAGGCAGACCCAGGCCAGAGGGGTTGCGCTTGGTGAAGAAACCAGTAAGGGTACCGAGGAGGGTGTAGGCCAGCGATGGAGACAGCTGGTAACCTCTGCCCGCCCTTTACCGACACGGCCCAACCTGCTGGGGGACCCGGATCTCGCCTCCCGAACTTTGTCCCTCTAGGATGCTCTGTGGTTCCAGCCTGTGCCCCAGAAGGACCCGGATGGCTCCAGCGCCACCTGCTAAGCGGCGAGTTCGACCAGCTGCGGAACTTTACCATTTTTGAGAGCAACTTCGTGCAGGTGTGGAATCCCTGGGACCTCAGCCCCACAGCCTGGGTCGACCGTCACCCTGTCCCTGCCCTGGACGTTTCCCCATAATGCATCTCCTGGAGGTGCAGACTTCCACCTCCTGGTGATCTCTGCTCCCATGTCTCCAGCCTTTTCGCTTGTGTATGAAACCTGGCCTCTGAGATTTTTATACGTTTCCCTGACTTCACACCTAAACAGTTCCTTTCCTTGAACCCCACAGTAGCTTGCTCCCACCCTGATTCTTACCTCCTCTTCCTTGTTCATGACTTTCTTTACCCTACAAGATTCCTGACCTCTGATCCTAGTCCAATTCTGCCCCCATCTGTCCAGCCTCTGACCTCTGACCTCTGGCCCCAGGTGACCCGGTTTGGAGAAGTTGCCAATAAGGTCACCATGGGGGTGGCAGCCTCCAGTCCGGCCCTGGAACTCCCAGACCTGTTGCTGCTGGCTGGCCCTACCAAGGAGGATGGATGTCCACAGCTGCTCGGGTGACTGTCCCTCCTGCAAGACCTCCTCCCTCAACCCAGGCACCCAAGCCCCCTGCAGCACCCACACACATGGCCAGCCAGGGCTAGGAATGCTAACTGCTGCCAGCCCTCTGTGGGCTGCTGTCTGCCCAGGAGTATGAGGACAGGGCAGTCCACAGGGGCCAGAAATCAGAGTCTGGATGACACAACGGGAAGGCTGAGCTTAGTGCCAGCCTGCTGGGGTTGGGACAGTGATGCCCATAATCCCATCTCTCACCTCGTATTCTTGTGTCGTGGGGGCTCTTTTGCCCCATCCTCTAGAGAGAGAAAGTGAGGCTCAGAGGGGAGCTGGGGCCCCCCTGCAGGCTGAGCTTAGAGCCATGGAATCTTTATGAGAAAAATTTCCCAGAACTGTATTTTCTCACTAGAAAAGTGACAGAAATCATGGGAAAGGAAGCACTGTGAAGTACAAAGCTGACGCGGCCCATGTATATTTCTTGCTGCCCTGGGCTCTTGCCCCCACCTCCAGCTGCCAGCGCAGGGACATTGACAGCTTTCAGTGGGGACATGGATATGCTCTGCCAAGAGCCTGCATTTTTCTGACCAAATCTCAGGGTTAATGACAGCAAGGGAGAGAGAAGAAAGAAAGAAAGGAAGTGAGGAGAGAGATGGAGAGATGATCCCGAGATTCACACCCTTTATGCCTCCCCTTGCCTTGTGGAGAAATCTCACAAAGCAATTTTCCAACACCAGTAAGATACACTGAAATACTTCTACATGTTTTAAACTTTTCAAGGCTAATGCGTCCCCCTAGTGGCTCTCACCCCCCGCACTGACGCATCATCACCGCAGGTGGGAGGCCACTGAAAACCTGCTGAGCGGCGCCCTTGACCTGCGGTACTCCCCTTCAGCACCCCAGGCCCCTCCCTAGGAGGAGACCTGGAGGGGAAAGCTTTGGTGCTTGCTGGCCAACCGGGCCTCGAGGTGCATGCGCAGCCCCGCCCGGTGCTGTCCACCTGCGGGGTTTCCTGAACAAGATAGGGCGGTGAGGACAGACAGACACTGGCACCGCGCCTCCTGCGCAGCGCTGGGGCACCCACCACACCTTTTCACTGTCCCTTGTCAACACCCGCTCGTGCCACTTCTTCTGGGTGGCAGGGCCACCATCACCCTCCATGGTCTCATGTGGTAGGAATATTCTCGAACACTCTGCCTTTAACTAGGCTCTCTCTCTGTGCCTCGGTTTCCTCAAGTGGAAACGGGACAGGAGGCGCACCTGCCCTCACAGGCCGTTGGGGGTAAACTGAGAGTTTATAAACTGTCCGGGAGCAGCTGGGACAGCAAGCACTCTGAGGGACAGCTGATATTCTTCCCGTTAGGGGACAAAATGAAGCTGCCCATTGTGGGACATGGAGTCATTGTCCAGGGACTTAGAGTTGCAGCCAGTGTGGTGGAGACTCCCTTGTGTACAGGGCTAAGTCAGGTCCTTCCCAGAGGTCACAGAGCAGTCAGGTGGCCGCCCCTGCTATGGATAAGGACAGGACTTTCGGCTCAGTGACAGCTGTGTGGCCCGGGCCAAGTTCCCCACCATCTCTCGATTTTTCTCCTGTCTTGGACCTTGGACCAGCCAGGGACCTAAGCGATTCGTTTATTCAAATACGCGATTGGCATCCTTTGAACGCCTGCTGGTGTCAGTGTGGGCCACTAGGGAAACGGCCCCGGACAAACCCTGCCCTCAGCGGGCTTGCGTTCTGGGAAGGCAGCGGAGAAGGACCAACGTGTCAGCTGGGCTGAGATCTGTGAGGACCCCGTAGACAGGAGAGCACCGTGTGTGCCAAGTTCGAGCCCAGCTAGGCAACTTGGTAACTTAATGGGACTCTATCTAAAAACATAAAAATAGGCTGGGAAAATATCTCAGAGCTTCAAGAAATGAAGGGAGCTCTGAGCAGACAGCGCCTGAGAAAGATGCTAAGGGATGGCTTTGCCTTTGAGAGGGCGCCCTGCGAGGGAGTCGAGCTCCCTCTGGCGGCCGTGTGGGGCACACCTGTAGGGCAGCCCCGCGCAAAACTAAGGGGGTCGTGCCCTGGGACCGCAGTGGAGTGAATAGTTGAGGGACAGGCTGATCGGTGGCTGGAGGGTGAGGATGGACTTAAATTCAAGACACCAAAAAGCAGAAAAAGCAAAGGACAAGGTGGCGAGGGGGGACTCCCGACCTGAGGACCTCCCCGTCCCGCCACCCAGGCTGTTCCCCCTGCAGTTTGTCCAGCTCTTCATCCACGACGAAAGCCGCCAGCAGCTGAAAGTTAAGTTCTGCACCGGCCGTGCTTTCTACCTGCAGCTGCGGGCGCCAGCTGAGACTCGGGCCCTGGAGTTCAGCAAGTGGGTGCGGCTCCTCTACCGCCTGCGCTTCCATGGCCAGGGGGCCGTGCCCTTCACGCAAGAGGAGTGGGGGGACGAGGACTGGGACGAGGAGACAGACCTGGAGGACCAGGAGAGGGACTGGCGGGACCAGGTGAAGGGAGGGCTGAGCAGGGCAAGGGAAGCCGGGAGGGAAGTGGGGACCTGGGGTCTGAGGGGGGAGCCGCGCCCACTCCTGAATCTTAAGGGCTGCGACACCCAAGCAGACAGCAGCATCTGAACAGTCCAGGGTGCAGAGCCCGTGTGCGAGCTACAGGCACCAGTCCCCCTTGGAACAGAGGCACACAGTCCTGCCTCCCTCCTGGATCTCGCAGATGGGGTACTGGGAGGGAATCTGTGTCACGTATTCTGAAGGGTCTGGGCGGTCAGGCTATGTGTCTGGTTCCCTGAAAGACTGGGGAGGTGAGGCAGGGGCACTGTGGGGGGTGGGGCGCTGGAACCTGGGGGCTGCTTCCTCTGGAGACCCAGAGCCCCTGCCTTCAGGCAGCTGCAGGCCAGCCCTCCCCACACAGACCCCTCTGCAGCAGGTCTGAGACACTCTTTCTCACCCAGCTTCAAGCCAGGGAAGCCAGACTTGACCCACAGACCTCTGAGCTCTGGGGACTGTGATGTCAGCTGGAAGCAACCGACCCCAGGGCCACACAGATGGATTATTAACATTAATAAAAAGCACCACTTAAGAACAACCACCAGCTCAAAGGCACTTCTGCCCGCAGCGCCCATTCACCAAGGCAGAGGCTGCCTTGATGGGTCTTCCATCAGCCACATCCGGGTCCTCACATGCTCAGGTAACCTGGTGCCTGGCCTTCCCAGGCTACCCAGTGGTGCATCTTTGACTCATTGTTGATTTCAATCACCACCAGCCTGTCCCCTTTTCCCCTACCTTAGCAACAGGAGCTGGGGTTCTCCTTTGAAGCTACGCAGTTGTCATGACAATGTGGTTGCCCCACTAAAGTCGATGTTCCAAGATGGTGGCCCCTCTTGTGGCCTGTTTCCTTGGTGGTGGTGGCTGCCCTGCCTGGCTGCCCCTCACCCACCCCACAGTGACCAGTCCCAGCTGGAGGGGAAGGAGAGCCCCAGAGCCAAAGAAACCACACACACCATCATCTAAGCAGCACTGTTTTGTTGTCAGCAAGAACCTGAGAAAGGTACAGTCTGTAGCTTTCCGGGGTTGGAGTCAGGGCTCAGTCATCTTGCCAGGTGGGGGGCAGTTTCACTGTGGCACTGCAGGGGAGAAGCAAAGGGTAGGTGAGGTGGACAGTGGCTCCCTGAGCTACACAGTGAGACCCAGTCTCAATAGAGGGGGGCAGAGAGAGAGCTGCAGCTGGCTACACAGGAGGAGGTGTTTCCTGGGCTCCCAGGCTCCTGGTCTCCACTTGTCTGTGTTTGCTTCACCTCTGACAACACAGGGAGCCTGCCAGGGTGCATTAGTCAAACGCCTGTCCCCCCTTCAGAAGCCCATCACCTCCTGTCCCTGGGACCCACACTGCCTCCAGCACCACTCACACCCAGGACCCTGCCCATCTCCCGCAGCCCAGGCCTGGCCCTCACCCCGCACGTCCAGCCTGCACTCGGCCAGCGCCTCCCCCAGCTCATTGATGGCCCGGCAGGAGTAGGTGCCAGCATCAAAAGGCGAGGGCCGGCGGATGTTGAGTGTGAGGACCCCTTGGTAGTTGGTCATCAGGAACTTGGGGTCTTCGCCGATTTCCATCTTATTCTTCATCCATACCACCTTCGGCTGGAGGGGGCAAGAGCAAAGGGTGGCTCAAGGGGTTGCACGGCCCAGGGCGGAAAAGGCTCCTGCCTCAGGACCTTGGCACTGCCTGTCCTGGTGCCCACTTGCCCCTCGCCTATCATTTCCTAGCCCACTGTGGTCCTCATACCTTTATGTTCACTGTGTGACTTTGTGTCAAGGTCAGCCCCCCTCCCACCTGCAGGAACTCAGGCTCCAAAAATAAATGAAGTGAGTGAATGATGCCATTGCCTACATGGAGTGAGAGTCGTGGATGTGAGGGGCTGATGGGTGAACAAGCAAGCCGGAGGATGGGCAGTGGAATCAGGGCGTGGGCTGTCATGGAGGTGGGGAAGAGGGACGAATCCACTCGCAGCCTGCCTAGGGATGGGGCTAAGAGCCTGCAGTCCAGCGCAGAAGCTGGCATGTGCTCTATGATGAGTCAGATCACACATATGTCAAGGACTTATTACTTCAGGCCTCTGCGGGAATAAGTGAGCTCTTGCTGTGGTGCAGAGACCATGATAAAATGTAAACGATATATGTGGCCTGTGTGCCAATAAAACTTTATTGAGAGAATGAGGTGGCAGGCAGATTTGGCCCAAACCTACAGTTTACCAACTCCTGGTCTACAGGGTCCCCTAGTTCAAGGTTGTAAGTGTTTCTATTTCCAAGTAATGGCCTGGAAATGGGGCTGGTGGGTGAGCCTAGGGCCCACACAGTCCAGATCTCCCAGCCCCCACCATTTCTGTTTCCAAGGCACTGCTGTTTGTCCTTAGGACAAGAAGGACTGAATGACCTCTCCTCTGAGCTCAGCCTGCCAAGAGGAGCCACTGCCTGGCAGGAAGACAGGGTGTCATTGTCTAAGCCCTGGGCTTAGGCCAAGAAGAGAAACAGGAAGTGGGTTAACGGGAGCAAATCCCCTGAAACTAGAGGATGCCAGGAGAAGGAGGCAGTGTACTGGGTTTGGGCTGTCATGCCAGTGTTTCTCCCTGGGTCCCACACATGCCACCCTGATGGGACACTGCCTTGGCACCTTTGGGTTGCCTCTGACGGCACAGTTGAGAGCTGCGGCATAGCCAGCCACGATAACCCGGTCGATGAGGGGTGTCAGGAACTTGGGAGCCATCCGGAAGTCGTGCTCCTTGTACTCCAGTGGCTTGAGGGTGATTCCTGGTACGGAGGACATACCCATTAGGTGACTGACTGAAGGCTATCCCCAAGCCAGCCAGGAGACCCCACTACCTCCGCCCCACCCCCGGGTACCAACAACTCGAGTCCAGGGCAGAGGCAAGGCTCAGAATCCAGGCTCAACCCACTGCTGAGCTACAGAGGTGACAGGCCCTAGACAGCAAGGGCAGCACCTGTTTTAAGAATGCGGGCTGTGTTCTTGGAAACTCCAGGCGAGTCACTGAGGCCGCAGATGTTCTCGCTGAACACACGGAAGTAGTACTCATTGCCCACAATGAGGTCAGACACAGTACAGCTGGTGTGCCGGTTGTGCTCGTAGACGTTGAACCATTCCTGGTGTGGGGACAGGACACAAGGGGACCACACACATGTGGACACAAACACTGAGCGTGGTATTGAGACAGCCTGTCATTCACAGCAGCAACAGTCAATTTCCAACAGGGAAGGACCAAACATTTACCAAGGAATGGGTGGATGAACAAAATGTTTTTTTTGTGTGTTTTTGAGATAGTCTCACTATACAGTTTGGCTAGTCTTGAACTTACTTTGTAGCCCAGGCTGGTTTTCTTTTTTTTTTTTTTGATGGAACCAGGGATTGAACTCGGGCCCTTGTGCTTGCAAGGCAAGTGCTTATTCTACTGAACTATCTCCCCTGCCCCAAGGCTGGTCTTGAACTCCCAACAATCCTCATGCCTCAGCCTCGCACATGCTGAGATTACAGGAGTGCACTATCACACCAGCTCTACAGAATGTAGTTCAGCAGTGCATAAGAATATGACTCAGCCAGCTGGGGAGGTAGCTCGGCAGTCTAAGTGCCTGCCCAGCAAGCACAAGGACATGGGTCCAGTCCCCAGTACTTCATGCCATGCTAGCCACAGAAACTGGTCATGGTGGCACAGGCCTGTGATCCCAACGCTGGGGAGACTGAGACAGGAGGATCACTACCAAGTCTGAGCTGCCTAGCGAGACCCTGTACCTAATTAATTAAATTAATAAAAATTACTCAGCCCCGAAAAGGTGGAAATTGAGACACAAGTTAGACACACATCACACACTGTCTTTCTGTTTATAGGAAATGTCCAGAGTCAGCAAATCCACAGACACAAAGCAAAGTGGGGGTTGAGACTGCTGATAGGAACAGGGTATGCTTTTTTTCTTTTTGGCGGAACCGGAACCGGGGATTGAATTCAGGCCCTTGCGCTTGTCAGGCAAGTGCTTGTTCTACTGAGCCATCTCCCCAGCCCCCAGGGTATGCTTTTGTGTGATACTGGGCTACACACTGTGAAGTGGGCTCGCCATCATGCCTCCAAGCGCTCCCCCTGTCCCCTCACCATGGTCTTCTTGTCGGCTTTCTGGACGAAATACCCTGTGACCTCACTGTTCCCGTCATCTTTGGGTGGCTGCCACTCCACCAGAGCGTTGGTGCCCCACACCTCCTTCACCATCACGTTCTCCGCAGGTCCAGCCTTTTCTGGAAGGAGAGGGGCTGTCGCATACCAGCCAGGAGTCCCTACCATCCCCCCCTCACGGCATGCCACCCTCAGACTTACGCCCTGGGTCCTCCAGTTCCTCACCTCCTTGCCTCATTCCCGCCTTACAGACTTCCCGCTCTCTAAACTTCTAGCCTTCTGCACCTCCCCGGTCCCGCCCCTCTCCATCTCGCCCCGCCCCAGACACAGCCCTTCTCCGCCCCCCATCAGACCACGCCCTCCTGGCAACTGACCCCACCCACCACCGGCCCCTCAACAAACCTGACCACGCCCATGCATGGCCAGGCTCCTGGACTGACCCCGCCCACCCCACTGCGGGCCCCGCCCCTGCCAGACTGCACACCCACGACTCGGATACGGATGGTGGCCGTGTCCTTCATGTTCTCGATCTGCACGCTCAGCTCGTACTCCCCGGAGTCAGAGCGGGCCGCCTGGCGGACGAAGAACACGGTATCGAAATCGCTGGTGCGCACGTGTACGCGGGAGGTGTCCACGGGGGCCCCGCCCTTCGTCCACACCACCTGGGGCCTTGGCTTGCCCTGGAGGGGAGAGACGGCGAGGTCAGCGGGCTCTGCAGAGCCGACTGGTCCCTGACCCGGCCCGGAACCCGCCGGTACCTGGAAGGGGATGACCAGGTTGAGGGGCTCCCCCACTTTGCGGATGTAGGTCTGGCGCAGGTGGCGGGGGAGGCGGATCTTGGGTTGCTCTGCGGCATAGACAGCTGGCTGAGCCCTGGGCTGGGATGCCACAGGAATGGGCACGAGGCAGCCGGCGAGGGCACTCACCCACGATCTCCCGGATGGTAACTGGCTGCAGCAGCGTGGCCGGCTCGCTGCGGCCCGCGATGTTGACCCCGACGACCCGGAAGAGGATCCTGGCCCCCGTGGGGAGATCCTTAACCGTGAAGCCACAGCGCTCCACCGGCTCCTTGTTAGCAGAGACCCACTCCTCGGCTAGAGAGAAGAGACTCCTGGGCCTCCCTCCGACCCACACCAGGGCCCACCAACCTTCCGTCTCCCGGCAGTGAGGACTAAGCACCCCACTGCTTGCCAAGCAGTCTGTGACCAGGCTCTGAGGCCAGCCCGTGTGAGTGCACTGCTTCTTGGTCTCAACCCTTCATCATCCCATTTTAGGAAGACGGAAACTGAGGCCCAGAGGGGCTCAGGTGCACCCCTAGGTCACACAGCTCTGATGCAGTATTCATGCAGCTGAACCCAGGGCCATCTGGGTCCAGAATATGTCCAAACTCTGCTTGCTGCCAAGCACGGCTCGGAGGGCCAGGGAGTAGCTCTGGCCCCAGCATTGGGGGGCAAAAACCCCAGGCGTCCCTGTGGGGAGGGGGACAACTAGAATCACTGGATTCCCGGCCTCCAGTTTCCTGCTCTTCTGTCCTGGAGTTATGCCTGGGGTTGGTGAGTCTGTCAGGGTGAAACCTACAGGCCTAGTTCTGGTGCAGGGGGAGGGTCAGAATGGGTGGAGCCAGTGGGAAGAGGGAGGAAGCTGACAGCAGTTCAAGCAGCCACCTTGCCACAGGGTACATGGCCACGGTGTCCTGTCAAGGTGGGCCAGACCTTTGCCACCTAAGATGATGGTATGGCGGCTCAGGGTCGTGGCCAGGGTCCCACTTCTCAGTGTGGGTCAGGATAAGGACCCACAGCCGGCTGGCTGTCAGACCTGGACGGTGGTGCTAAGACATTGCTGTCAGGGCTCTGGGTTGCACTCCAAATCCAATAGGCATGTGTTTGGTAGAGAACAGAGGAGGTACAGAAATGTGGATGGCAGAGGGGCAGGTGGGGAGACTAGTAAGACAGATAATTGGATGGCCCTGTGGGTTGAAGCAAGGGAGAGACAGAGTCAGGAAAGAAATGAGGGAAGATGGTGAAAAGATACATAGGGAAAATTGTTACTGGATGGATGGATGGGTGATTTGGATTGATGGATGGATGGGTGGGTGGGTAGATGAATATGTGAATGGGTGGGTGGATGGATGGATGGGTGGGTGGGTGAGTGGATGGATGGATTGATGGATGGATGGAGAGATGAATGGATAGATGGATGGATGAGTGGATGGATGGATAAGTGGGTGGATGGATGGATGGATGGGTGGGTGGGTGGGTAGATGAATATGTGAATGGGTGGGTGGATGGATGGATGGGTGGGTGGGTGTGTGGATGGATGGATTGATGGATGGATGGAGAGATGGATGGAGAGATGGATGGATGGAGAGATGAATGGATAGATGGATGTATGAGTGGATGGATGGATAAGTGGGTGGATGGATGGATGGATGGAGAGATGGATAGATAAATGGATGGATGGAGAAATGGATGGAAAGATGGATGAGTGGATAGATGGTGGGATAGGTGGATGGATGGATGGATGGATGGATGGATGGATGGATGGATGGATGGATGGTTGGTTGAGTGGGCGGATGAATGTATAGTTGGATGGGGCCAGGGAGATGGCTCTGTAGGATAAGCACTTCCCTGGCAAGCGCAAGGGTCTGAGTTCAAGCCCCAGTTCCACAAAAAAAAAGTGTAGTTAGATGATCCAGAGTTACCCATCCATGGATGGGTAACTGGGTATGATGACATACACCTGTCATCCCAGCGCTCTGGGAAACTAAGACAGGAAGATTGCAAGTTTGAGCCCAGCCTGGGCAATTTAGCGATTTAGGGAGACCCTATTTCAAAACAAACAAACTAATAAATAGATGGCTGGAGATGTGCTAAATGCCACAAAGAAAAAAAAGAGATATGGATGACTGAGTCATCAGGAAGAAGAGAGGGAAAAAAGGAGGAAAGGCAGAGAGGGAGGCAGGGAAGAGCCGGAGTGAGGAATAGAAGGAGGAAATGACAGAAGGAGGGAACGAGTGTGGCTGGCTGCTGGTCAGATGAATGGAAGCAAGGCTGGCTGGATGGAGAGGTGGACAGATGACAGGAAGGAAGCACACAGGTGGCAGGTGAGTGGTTGAAAGGGTAGAGGGAGGGGGAGGGGACAGGCTGGCACAGAGGGAAAAGGACAGCCCCGAGGACTTCTCTGGCCACCCTGGCTGGCTCGCTGTTGGGGCAGCACTCACAGCCCTCCAGGCAGTACTCCACCAGGTAGCCGTCGATGCCACCCGCCCCGATCCTGTCCGGCGGCCGCCACTTGAGTGTAGTGGTAGTGTCTGTCACATCCTCCACTGTCAGGTGCTGGGGCGCACTTGTGGGTGCTGCAAGGATACAGGGATGGCATGTCAAGAGGGACCAGGGGCAGCAGGAATGGGCACGGGTCAGAGATGGGGCACTGATAGAACAGGGCCGGAAATCAGTGGGCCAGTGTCACTGAAATGATGGGATATCATAAGAGGATGGTTGCCCGGGACAGGAGTTGTGTCATCCTGCAGGTCAGAGGCCAGGGACAGGCAAAAAGCAGGGCATGGGGAGAGGTCCGAGGCATTACCGATGGGCATGAAAGGCTTAGTGTTCATGCTGGGCTGGGAGACGCCGATGGCGTTGACTGCGAAGACCCGCATCTCGTAGAGAACGCCCTCAATCATCTTGGTGGACTCATAGGTCAGCTCCGTGAAGACCTCAAAGTTCAGCTTCATCCAGCGCTGAGAGCCCTTCTTCTTCCGCTCCAAGAGGTACCCTGGGGACCCCAAGCAGTGAAGAGCACATGATCATGGGAGGTCATGGGGTCACAGACTAGTTGGGACAGTGCCGGTGACCCACAGGGGTCTGAGGCTGTGAATGTCACGTTGCTGTCCACAACAGCTTCCCAAAGCTACTTGAGAGTGGGCGTCAGAGAGTCTGCAAGGAAGGGTCCCATGGGAGTCGAGAGAGGTCACAGGTCATGACTCCAGGCTGGGGTCACAGAAAACCCCAGGCCAGGGGGTGAAATGAAACTCATTCACAGATCAATGGAGGATAAATAATGCCAGGGAACTTGGATGTAGTACCACACACCTGTCATCCCAGCACCTGGGAGGCTGAGGCAGGAGGATCATGAGTTCAAGGCCAGCCTAAGTTACATAGTAAAACCATGCATCAAAATAAAATAAAAGGGGCTGGGGAGATGGCTCAGTGGAATAAGTGCTTCCCTCTGAGTTCAATCCCCAGTTCTGCCAATAAATAAATAAATAAATAAATAAATAAATAAATAAATAAATAAAATAAAAAGGGCTGAGAAGGTAGCTCATTAGCAAAGCACAGAAGGCCCACAGTTCAATTCTCAGGACCATGAAAAATAAAAAATCATGATGAGAAGCCCTACTGGTTAAAAGGCTTCAAAGATGGGAACTAAACTTTCAGGGGACAGGGAGGGGCAGAGGTCTCAGGGCCCCTGGCTCACAGGCACTCACCTGTGACTGGCTGTCCCCCATCATACTTGGGTGGCTCCCAGACTAGGATGGCCCAGTCTTCTCCAACTGAGGTCACACGCACAGCCTCCGGGGGGTCTGGGACATCTGGGGGCCAGGAGAGTCAGGGGCACTCTCGCGAGCTCAGGGAGCCACCCCAGCTTGGCCCCCTTAGCCCTTTCTGCTCACCTACAACCCGAAGGAAGATGGAGGCCACATCCTCCCCCACAGGGTTGGTGACTTTGATGGTGTAGCGGCCCTCATCTGCCCGCTCGGCGCTCTCAATCACAAAGCTGCTGCAGTCTACCCGCTGCTCCACACGAACCCTGCCCTCAGTGGCTGAGAACACCTGGACACGGGACCAGACGGCCTGAAGTGCAATGGCTGTGCAAACACAGACCCACTGCTCCAAGGCAGCTAGTGGCTCCCCACTGCCACAGAGTGTACGAGACCCTGGATTGGCACTCAAAGCCTCTCAATCAATGCTCAGCCTCTCAACTTTCCACTGCCCTCCCCACCCTGCAAACACCATCCACCATTAGAAGCACCACACTGCTTTGTGAGTCCTGGATGTAAGGTCGTTATGTGACACCATGCTCTTACACACCTTTAATATCCTGGATGGATGCAGATGCATGGATGGATGATGGATAATGGATGATGGATGGATGGATGGATGGATGGATGGATGGATGGATGGATGGATAGATGGGTGGCTGGTCTGATGGATGTTTGGATGGATGAATGGTGGGGAGCCAGATGGATAAATATATGAATATATGGATAAGCACAAAGCTGTAAGGGTCAAGAGTCAAGAGGGGTCACAGGTAATGACTTGGGGCCAAGGATCACAGAAAACCCCAGGCCATGGGGCAAAGTAAAGCTTATTCACAGATCAATGGAGGATATGTAATGATGAGGAAGCATTTTTAGATGGTTGGATGGATGGATGGAAGGATGGATGGGTGGGTGGGTGGGAGATTTCTGCATGGATGGATAACTGGGTTAATGGACGTATGAACACAAATGGATTAATTGCCCAGTGGATCGATGAGTGGATGATTAACTGATGATGAAAGAATGGATGGATGGACAGATGGATGAATAGCTGGATGGATGGGTTAATAAATGGATAAACAGACAAATGGATTAATTACCAGATGGATCAATGACTGGATGATTAAATGATTGAAAGACAGATGGATGGATAGACAGATGAGTGGATGGATGGATGGATGGATGGATGGATGGATGGATGGATGGATGGGTTAGTTGATCCATTGGTTTAATTAGCTTTTGAGTAGGTGGTTATGGATAAATCACCCACATCAGATAATGGGCACATATAATCTCCAGTTTTAGAAACCAACCCAGTGAAGAAGGAATACTTGTCCATAGTTCATAGAAGATGAACCTGTGACTCAGAGAGGGGAAGCAACTTGTGAGAGGTACTCCAACAGCACTAAATAGGAAGGAAGCCCTGGAAGGTCCCACCTACATCATCGCCCTTCAGCCAGGTGGCAACGGGTGGTGGCTCCCCTGTGATGGCTACATCCAGCCTCAGCTTGTTCCCAGCTACGACCACAATGGAGTTGTCGGAGGTCTTTCCAGAGCAGTCCAAGTGGATCTTGGGTGGTTCTAAAGGTAAGGGAGACACGCTTCTCCTTAGGGACGGCAGGACATGCTCTCAGCCCACCAGAGGGACGCTGAGAAGTTGTCTCCACAGGCACTGGCCCCACAGCCTGTTCCCAGCCCCTCCTCACTCACACCCAGGGATCCAGGCCCTACCTCCCAGGGCACCAGCCCTCACCTTGCTTGGGGACGTACTCCACCTTGATTTCTGCAAGACCAAGGAGGCTGGAGGTTAGGCCACTGCCAGGACCCTGTCACCTTCACAACCCAGAGGCAGAGGTGAGTGTTCAGCAGTCGCCATGGGGACTGGGGTGCTGGGAGATTTGAGGCCATGGGCCCCCTGCTCCATCCTGGACACTGTGAGTGTCCAACACTCTCATCACCTCCCACTGACTCCACCCTCAGGCCCCCCACGCTCCCCATCAACCTGCTTGTACACTCAAGGACACTGGGTCATGCAGGGAGGGCCTGGCAAGGTTCCCAGGGCAATGAGAGGGCGTCTTCACCCAGGAAGTTGAGCTTGGCTGAGAGGGACAGCGCATAGCCATCAGGCACGAAGGTGTAGTCCCCTTCATCCTCGGGGCGGACATCATCAATCACCAACTTGTGGATCCTGAAGTGGGGAGGGCAGGCTCAGGCTAGGTCTGCTGCCATCTGTGTCCCCAGACACACCCTCCTTGGTGCAACCTACTACATGACTGTTACTTCATTGTATTTTGAGACAATGAAGGGTCTCACTATGTAGCCTGGCTGGCCTTAAACTCACGGCGATCCTCCTTCCTCAGCCTCCTGAGCGCTGGGATTACAGGTGGGCACCACCACACCCGGCTAATGCCCATCATTTTTATTAGGGGCTCTGGAATGCTACAGCCTGGATTTCTGTCTGTTTACAAGCTGTGCAAGTGTTGGGGAAGTTGCCGAACCTCTCTGTGCCTCTGCTTCTTCATTACAGTGATACCCTACCTAGTGGCACCTAGAGGAGTACTTGGAACATGGTACGTGCCGACAGGCATCAGGACTAGGTGTCCTAGTGACAGAAGCCACCAGGGGACAGAACCCCTGATGTTACAGAAATGGAGAAAACGGTGTTCGAAGGCTGCGACTGCCAACCCACAAAGGCGTGAGTTCTCCCAGCAGGACTCTGCACTGTGCCCCAGCAGTGCAGCCTTGCAACGACCCCCCATCTAGTAGGGTATCTATTTTTCACCCCTTGGGTCTGGGCTAGGACTTTCTTTCCCTGATAGAACAAGGCAGGAGTGACATGAGGTCCTCTCTGCCACCACAGGAAAAGCCAGGCTACCTTAGTGGAGGATGAGCTGTCACCACAGAGTAGTGGCAGCTAAGCTGTCCCACTGGATGTCCTGCCAGAGCCCAGGCATAAGCCACAGAGCTGCCATTTAAAAGCCACAGAGGCACCAGCAGGGATGTCCTGCCTCAGCCAACCCCCTAATCTTGCTCTCTGGAACCAGGCCATTTGTTACACAGCCACACTGACTGATACACAAGCTGCAGCTCACCTGCCAACATGGGAGATGGTGATCCTCTTGCTGGGCCGCACCTCAATCCCATTCTTGTACCACTTGCCTGTCACCTTCTCGTCCGACACCTCACACTTGAACACAGCCTGTTCTGCGGCCTTCACCGTCAGATCTGCGATGTCCTGCAGTACCTCAAGTTGTTTCTCTGGACAGGGAAGAAAGACATGGGGCCATCACCACTCCAGGAGGCCTCAGGCCCATGAGCACCCTCAGTGTGCCAAGTACTGTTCGGGTGTTGGGGACGCAGGTGTGGACATGGTGAACCCAGAACCCTGGGGCTGTCACGTCCCAGTGTGAGCAAGGAAACACCAGGAAAAGAGTGAGCAAGGAGGAGCCCAGGGACAGTCTCCTGGAGAAGGACTGCTAGGGCCAGGGGCCTGGGGTGGGCAGAGGCGCGGCTAGGTAAGCACATGCCGAATCCGTGTGTGTGTGTGTGTGTGTGTGTGTGTGCGTGTGCGTGCGTGTGCACGTGCGTGTGCCCATCCCAGCACTGCATGATAAGGATGTAGCAGCTTGCTGCAGCAAGGAGCCCCAGTGGCCGCTACAGAGGGAGGGAGCTGGGCTCACAGCCAGAAGGGACTTTGCTTTGGCTGAATAATGCAGGGGCCAAGGAAGGGCTGGGAAGAAGAATGAGATTTTACATTCCAGTTATTATTATTGATGTTTTGGTTTGTTTTCAGATCGGGTCTTGCTGTCATTCAGGCTGGCCTTTAATTCATAGGGATTCTCCTGCCTCAGCCTCCCAAATCATTGGATTATAAGCTTGTACCCCTATACCCAGCTCAAATTATTATTTGTTTTTTAAATAAGGTGATTTTTTTTTTTTTTTTTAAAATTTTTTTTTTTTTTTTTAAATAAGGTCTCACTATGTAGCCCAGGCTGGCCTTCAACTTGAGGCAATTCTCCCACCTCAGCTGCCCAAGTGCTGGGATCCCAGGCACACACCACCACATCCAGCTTTTCTTCCTCAGTTCTGTGAGAACAGGACTTTTGCTATGTGGCCCAGGCTGGGCTTGAACTCTGCTGTGATCCGTCCGCCTCAGCCCACTGAGTGCTGCATTACAGGTGTGTGCTACCATACCACCACACCCACATAAACAAGGCAATGCATTTACACAGTTTAAAACATGACAGTAAAAGAATTTAGACAGAGGCAAATATTTTCCCCTCAGCCACGCACTGCAGCGATGTGGCTCCCCTCCCCGAAAGTGATGTTCACCCAGCTCTCCTTTCTCAGGATGGGGGGATCCGGCCAGGCCTTCCTGGATCCCACAGTTCTCCACACAGAAGCCAGCTGCTCCCTCCGTGCTCTGAATCCTCTCTGGGTGGCTCCCAGGACCGTGCGGGACACAAAGGCGCTGTAAGCTGCGCTACGCTGTGTCACTCAGGGAAGGCCACGGAGAGTCACGCAGCACTGCCAGACAGTCTCCCGAGGGGCGCACCCCAAGGCTGGCTGGGTCTGGGGGTCGGAGCCTACTGTATATACCTTCTTTCCTTCCTCTTTTCTTCCTTTCTGCTTTCCTTTTCCCTTTTAAGACACAGTATCTTTGTTTTGTCACTTAACAATTTACCTTGCAAATCCTCCCAAATTAGGAAATGCAACATTTCCTTTTTCAAACGCTGCACATCACAGTAGGATCGTTTACTTGGCCCACAAATGCTTTGAGTTTGTTGGCCTTTTTCTCTTTACTTTTCATTTTTTATGGAATTAGCAACACACAGTGCATGGAGTCCCATGGGCTCCCCTGTGGTGACATCTTACAGACTGGGGGCCACTGGTAGGCGTGGTGGTGCACCCCTGGATCCCAAACTCTTGGGAGGCTGGGACAAGAGGATCACTGTGAGTTTGAGGCCAGCCTGGGCTGCATCGTGAGTTCCAGGCCAGCCTGAACAATGTATTGTGACCCTGTCTGGGAACACCAAAGCAAAATAGCTGGGGGTCAAACTCTAACACAGGATACTGACAGGGTGGGGTCCTGCGAATGGAGTACAGATCCTGCCAGGGTTCACCATAACCCGGTGTCCCTGAGATCACACCAGCAGGCCTGTGTGTGTGATGTGGGGAGGTCACAGTGAGGGGACAGATGAGAGGGTACAGTGACAGCAGCCTAGGCCAGTGCCCGGAGGCTGGTGGGTGCGGGGAGGGTGAGGAGAGGAGTCCAGTGCCGTGGGGGAGGGGAGGCCCAGCCCACAGCCGCACCTTCCACAATGAGGTCGGCCTCGCACTGGCCGCCATTGGTGATGACCTGGAAGCGGCCCCCGTCCTCCAGGCTCACGTCGGAGTAGATGAGGATGTGGCGCTTGCCGTCCTTCTTGAAGCGGTAGCGCGCCTTGTAGGACTCCTCCCGTGTAATTTCCACACCGTCCTTCATCCTGGCAGAGGGGACACAGGAGGGGTCAGTGAGGGCCAGCACAGCCCTGGCCTGGCTCCAGAGGGTGAGGGGAGGAGCCAAGAGGATGTCATGGGACAGAGACAGATGAAGGTGGGGAGTGGAGTAGAGAGGTCTGAGACAGAAAAAGATCATCGGAGCTGCGTGTGGCGGTGCACGCCTGTAATCCCAGCACTCTGGGAGGCTGACGGAGGAGGATCTTCAGCTTCACCTCAGCCTAATACACCACACACACACACACACACACACACACACACACACACACACACGGTCATGGGGAAAGGTCAGAGCAGGAAGAACCCCGAGGCAGGTGTCCAACATGGTGGCCTCTGTGAGCAGGGCTCCCCACCTGGGACACCCCCTTGCTCTCTACCTCCTCATCTTTCAGGTCACAGCTCAGTCCTCAACTGTCACCTCCTCCCAGAAGCCCATTCAGCTACCTGAGACCCTTCCTCCTTTGAAAAGCTGACACTGTCAACTCCTGCCTCTCAGCACTTGTCAGAGTGGGGCATTTGCAGAGACTTGGTGAGCTTACCAATTCTGTCCCACACACCCTCACCAACTTTCCAGGTTATAAACGCCATGAAGGCAGGTCCTGGGCTGCTGTCTCTCCCCACTCATCTCTGACACGAAGAAGATGGCAGCCAGACAGTGGGGCTGGGAAGAGCCAGGAGGGGGAGTGGTTGGGTGACTGCGTCGATGGGCAAGGGGACAGGCGAGGGGCGAGGGAGGGAATGAGGACACAGGGAGGGATCAACAGAGCAAGGACAAAAAAGATGGGGGCAATGAATGGGAAAGGAAGGAGAGATGGAGAGAGGGAGGAATGATGGATGGCTGGGTGGGGGGTAGAGGGAAGAAGGGAAGGAGCCACAGGGAAGGAAGATGGATCAGGGGAGTGGGGAGGAGGGAGGAGTGCAGAGAGGGACAGATAAATGCATGAACATATACATGGGTGGAGGGGGCAAGGAGAGGCGGCCGATTGGCTGGATGGATAAACACACAGGAACACAGCAGGCGTCAGGAAAAGTGCCCAAAGGGGCCGGGATGGGCAGATGTCAGAGGTCCTGGTAGCAGCCCTGACCAAGGTCAGTGTTTGTAGGGAAAGCTGAGGCGGCCCAGTGACTCAGGAGAGGAAAGAAGCCCCTGCGGGAGGTCTCAGTCCCCTAAAGACTAGGGCTGAGGCACCTGCGTGGAGACCAGGGCTGGGTCACTCACCACATGACCTGGGCACCTTCCTCCGACACCTCCACTGACATTTCCACCCGGTCCCCTACGAACACCTGCTGGTCCTCAAGGGGTGTGACAATCAGGACAGGAGGCTCTGTGCAGACAGGGACAGGAAGCAGCAGTGTCAAGATGCCCACCTTCCCCTTGCCCCTGCTCCAAGGTCTCCACCTCACCTTTGACGAAGAGCTCAGTGAAGCACTTCTCGTCCTTGACGGCCACCTCATAGGCGGCGTCATCGGCCAGGGTGCACTTGTTGATGGTGAGGATCCGCTTCTTCCCCACGTTCTCAAACACATACCTGGGCCGGAGTCCCAGCTCAGCATGGGGCACGCATCACAGCACACCCACCCACCCAGAGCCAGTGTCACTCTCTGTCAGTCACACGTGGGAGGGGACAGGAAGCCCGATTTCTGTCATACCAGCAACCACAGTGATGGGGTAGTTGCCCATCTCTGTCCACCTGCCCACCTTCCAGCAGGGACACACAGCCGCCTGCATTTCCCAGCCTGCACTGCTGCCAGGAGGACCAGTGGAGTGTGACCAGAAGTGGAGCTTGTCACACAGAACCTGGGTCCCCAAATGTATTTTAATTCTGGTGGTTGAACCCAGCGCCTGTCTACTGAGCTGTATCCCCAGTCCTTTTAAATTTTAAATTGAGTCCAACTCAATTCTCAACTGTAGCCTCAATTCTCAGGTGTGCAACATTGCAACCGGCTGAACAGAGCGCACCTGAGCACCTGTCCTTGCGCCCCTGCCTCCACCCTGCCCTGTCCCTGTCCAGGGCCTGCCCTGCCTACTTGCTGCTTGGCTTGATCTCCTGGCCATTCTTGAACCACTTGAGGGGAAGGTCCGGGTCACTGATCTCTACGATCAACTTGATCTTGTTGCCCTTGTCCACCTGGTAGGCTGGGTCGAGCTTCTTTGTGAAGGCTAGAGACAGATGGACAGAGGCATGGGGGTGAAGACAAGAGGCCCTGGCTTCCTGGGAACCCCTCAAGGAACCAAATCTCCCTCGGAGCTCCCCTAAGTTAAGGCCAGAAGGCCTCCGCAGGACTCAGATAGCCCCCCAAGGCCCAGTTCCTGGGGTCTCCAACCGGCCCATCCAGGTGGCCGCTGGCCATGGTGCTGACCTGCGCTCTTCTTGACTTCAACCTTGGCCTTCTTAAGCCGCTTGAGCATGCCCCGCAGGTCAGTGATGCCGTACTGGAAGGCGATCTTCTCGTACTCGCTCTTCTTTGCCCCTTTCAGGAGCTCCCAGATCTCCGGGGGGATGCCCAGGTCGTCGTCATCTTTTTTCTTCTTCTTCTTCTCCTCCTCAACCACCTCCCTGGGGGAGGGGGACACGCAGGCCACCAGGAGTGAACTGCAGATTCCTGTCACCTGCCTTGCTCTCTCTGCTCACTTACTCTGTGACCTGCCCAGGCCACTGTCCATCTGTCTACACCTATTCCTTCCTGCCCCAGTTTCTGCTCCCCACAGGGTTCCCGAGGGGAACACCCACATCGATGCCATGCCCCCTCCCGAGTCAGAACTCTGCCAGGGTTGCCCACCCACTGCCCACAGGCACCTCAGCCTAGCAGGCAGGAGCCATATCTGCCCCGATCCTTCCAGACCAAGTCTCTAGCCTCATTCCTAACACCCTGGGTTCTTTCCTGTCTCCCACTTAGCACAAATTGCTTTCCTGCCTCCTTCCCGACAAACTCCTCTGAGGAAATCCAGTACCACAGTGCCCTTCTCTGGAGACATTCCCTGTCCCCCAAGGCAATGAGATACCCTTGCCTTTGGCTCCAAAAGGCCCCAGGACCCTTCTCTCTGATCACACAGAATGGTTGAATTTAGCAAAAAGCCATTGGGGGCAGTAACAATGGCAGAGACAGGCAGCTCACAGGGGTAGGCAGGACTGGGTGGTGGGTGGTGAGCACATGGGGCTGGGCACTGGGTTGGGTGTGGGACGGATATGGGTACAGACACATGGGGACGTGGGCAGGTGGATGGATGCAGGGATGGAGGGGTGCTGGAGCAGCAGGCACATCGGGCCTCTCAGGACGATATGGGTGGGTGGAGGGGTTTGACAGGATGGAAGGATGGATTTATAAGTAGATGGATGAGTGTAACAGATAGGTGGAAAGATGGTAAGTAGGTAAATGGGTATATGAGTGTAGGGACCAGCAGACATGCAGGTAGATGGGTGATTGGATGAATGGATAGGGAGATGGGCAGCTGGTTGGGCAGATGGAGGACAAGACGGCTGGTGGGTAGAGAGGACAGTAGGTGGGGGCATGCACAGCTAGGGTGGATGGATGAGCAGACCAGTGGATGGCTAGAGGAACAGGTGCTACGCAGGGTAACTGGCGCTGAAGTAAACAGGAGCGTGGAGGTGAAGATGGTGGGTCCAAGGGCAAGGAGGTGGGGGAACCGGAGTGATGACAGGTGATCGGGTGAGGCCAGGCATGGGTTGATGGGAAGAGGATGGACAGTGGCCAGATGCGTGGAGACCATAGACTGCACAGACAGAAGGCACTGGAGGAGGGCAGGGGACCTCACCTCTTCTTCAACAGGCCACTGAAATCCAGCTCTCCTGCATCTTCTGACTTCCCTTCACCCCTATGGCCATGGAGAGGGGGTGTGAACCCCAAAGAGATGCATCCCTGAACCCCCACTCCGTGCCATCTTGCACATCTCCAGCACCACTGCCTCCTCCACAGGGAGAGACTCCCGTGATCCTTGGCCCCAAGAATCCCTCTGTCCCCAGGGCCCAGAGTCACTTACGAGCGCTTGAAAGTTTCCAGGCTCTGTCCAGAGGAGTCCTGACGGGGCGCTGGGAACACAAGGCCAGCTGGTAAGGCCCAGCCTCAGGCTGAGGGCTCCTCTCCAGGGCTGCCCACCTCTCCCCTCGCCCTCCTCCATCTCCCCAGGCCACACACCACCTCCCTCCACTGCAATCTGGCCCAGCAGCCATGCCTGAGCTTCCTAGCAGCCTCACCCCCACCCTGGCCAGCATAACTTTCACCCTTGCTCCTATGACCTTCATATTTAAGGCCCCACATCCTGGGCCTTAGCACCAGACACTACACACCCCCAAGTGTGCATCCCTCAATCCATCCTGAACAGCCACACCTGAAACCTGTACATTCCTACTCTCCGAACCTGGACAGCCTCAGCGCTGAAGTTGTTACTGCTGCCTCATAAGCCTTCGCATGCGCACCCCAAGACTCTGAAAGCTCTAACCCGGAGTCTGCATCTCCTCCTCCTCCTCTGGACCTGAACACAGCCTCCCCAGTTTTGACTCCCCTGACCCCAACTCCGGACTCCTACCTCAACATACTCTCCCTGCTCCTGGTGGGGACATCTGTCCCCCACCCAGGCCTATGAACCTTTGCCTCCACTGCCCCTGCCAGCGCACCCTCCACGTCGATATTGAAGCCACAGCTGTCGCAGGCGTCCTTGGCTTTGACCTCCAGACGGTAATCCCCTCGGTCCCCCAAGACCACCTTCCCAACGTGCAGCTCCACGGTGTACACCTGGGGAGCGGGTTGGGATGCTTGTGACCACTGCAGCCACCATATCCCTGAGGCCTCTTGGAACTCTGTCCCCACATCCTCAGCCCCGTCGTACCTGGGGCCAAGGGAGAGCTAGCATGGGGCTCAAGATACCCAGTGCACCTCAAGCTCTCCTTCCTGTACAGCCTTGACTTTGGGGGGCCCACACGGTGGGCTCCCTGAGACCTTTCAGGAAGTGGCTATGACCTTGGTACAGTGTGTCCTCCCTACCTACATGTCCTGGGGGCCATATTCACCCAGGGGCTCTGGGCCACAGTGGGGCCTCAGCTCAGGACTCTGAGAAGTGGGCCCACACCACTGCCGTCCAGCCCACGCCCCTCCCCAGTCCTCACATTGCTGGCTGAGTCGTGGGACTCTTTGAAGGAGAACCGTGCACCGCTCTTGCTGTCCAGCTGCTGCCACTTGCCCTTGAACCACTTGATGGTGGGTTTGCCCGGGAGTTCCTTCCCGTTCACCTGGGCCACGATGACAGCATCCTTTCCTGGGGGTGGGGAGGCACAGGGATGCCCATGAGGGGACTATGAGCTTGCAGATGCACCCGGGGAGCATCCTCCTTCAGACCCAGGGCTCAGGCCCTGCCCCCCAAGCTCCTCACCAGTCTCCACTGATACAGAGTCAGGTTTTTTCAGGAAAACACCGCTGGGCACCTCAGCAGTGGGGGACTGGTCCTCAGGTGGGGCTTCTGCACAGGAGACAGGATTGGAGTCGAAGTGGGCTGGGAGGGGTAGTGGGCAACTTGGGGGCAGGGACTTAGAGCTGTGAACCTACTCCACTCCCCACCCCCGCTCAGAAACCACAGTGGGGGGTGTCTCTTGGCCAGGAGGAGCACATGCAGCTCAGATGGCCCTGTGACCATGGCCAGCATCCCCCAGCCTTCAGGTCTCAGGGTCACCACGTGGAGAGCAGAGAGTGGGGTGTAGACACTCCTGAAGGATCCTTGGGGACAAAGGCCTGAGATCAGCCAGAGCACTGGGAGCTGGACTTGCCCTGAGATGGGAGCCCGAGACCTGGGGGCACTGGAGAGCCATGGGAGTGCGGGTAGCGCTGTTCCCTCTGCACTGTGAGGGGACAGACTGAAGGACAGAGACCAGGGCAAGCCAGGTGCAGGTGCAGAGGGAGAAGGCACCAGGGTGACAGCAGCGGGACTGAGCCAAGGAGTCCACTCACCTTTGGGGGGCTCTGCAGGAGCCTCCTTAGGAGGAGCTTCTTTGGGGGCATCTTTGCCTTTGGCGACCTTTTTGGCTGCTGTGAGGAAGGAGATGTTCACAGTTCACAGGGCGTTCAACAGGATGTAGGGATCAGGGCCCAGCCTCCTCCCTGAACCCCAGAAAGTCCAAATCTTAGAAGTAAATTTATCTCCAGCCCAGAGTCTGAGATCAGGTTTCCCCAGCCCAGGCCGGCCATGTCCCGGCCACCCAGGCCACCAGGCCCTGACCTTTTGGTTCCGGGGGTATAATTAGCTCTTCCCTTGGGCTGGAAACTGGACACCTTGTGCTGAGCACAGCAGCCTTCCCCGCGATGCTGGCTTCTGGCCCAAGAGGGCCCAGCCATGGCCAGGGTCTGGACCCCACCCCACAAGTGGCTCACCTGATGCCTTGGGACCACACACCTCACATGGGTCCTGGGACCTGTGCCTCCCTTCCAGACTGCCTCATAGAGAGAAAGCCCCATCCTCACATAAAAACCTGGCCTCTGGTCCCACCTAAACAGGGTTCCCAAACTGGACAAGAAGCAAGGACTGGGGCTGGGAGTGTGGCTCAGCAGTAGAGCTGGCATCTGTGTGCCCAGGGTGCACCTATGTCCCCAGCACCACACACACACAAACACACACAAACACACACGCGTATGCACATGCACACACACACAACTGAAACAAAAGGAAAGAAAGAAAAGAGGAACATGAAGAAAGGGAAGGGAAGGCAAGGGAAGGCAAGGAAGAGAAGGAAAGGGAAATGGAGGACTCCTAATTCCCACACAAGGAAACCCAGGTCCCACAGGAAGAGGCCTCATCCTTATGCGGACAAGTCCAGGGTGTCCATACAGATGGGAACCCCTATCTCTAAAGACTCAGCATCCTCATCCTTCCCAACTCTTTTCTAGTGGATGCCAACCCACAACAGAGAACCCCATCACAATGCTGACTCTCCAGCCTACATTCAGGGCCCCATACCCCATGGAGCACAGGAGCCCAGTTTACAGAAAACCCTCTCTGCTGCAGATGTGTCTCCCCCAATCCTCTACAGAGAAATTAACTCCCTCCCTGAAGGGGTAAGGGGCTGTCCCCAGCCCACACATACAGGGGACCTCCTCCATCTCTCCTACACACACAACACCCCATCCTCCCCAACCCACAGAGACAGGAGGCCCTGAGCCCCATACAGAAAAGGGGCCCTCATCCCCTCTGAGGCAGGGCCCCAAGCCACCTGGTTTGGCCTCAGGCATGTCCGCAACTTCCTCCTGCTCTGGGGACCAGACCACCGCAGCTGCGCAGCTGCGACTCGCAGGCCCTAGGGAGGACAGGTGGAGCCCACGAGGAGCATTTTAAGAAGTTGGGAGACTCCCAGGAGGCTCTGGGAGGCCCAGACCTCCGCCCCACATTCCGCCTGCATGCCCTAAAGGGCGAGAAATAACAGGTGGACAGACAGCTGAATGCCGGGTCCCCAGGGAGCACAGGCTGGGGGGCTTGGCCACCTGGGTGACTGGGGAGACGACAGGCGGGGCCCGCAGGGGCTTGGGGAGGAGGGGCTGGGAAACCACACTCCTGAGTCTGGAGGCACAGACATGGGGAGCCCAAATTTGGGGTCCAGAAGAGGGGGGAGGAGGAGGAAGGCAGCGGAGGAAGAGGGAGAGAGGAGGAGAAGGAAGAAGATGCAGAAGGGGGCGGGGTGCACGGACCCGGGAGGAGCAGACAAAGCGGAGGGGGGGGTCTCAGGTGGGTGAAGCTGGCACGAAGGGGGCGGGACGGACGGGGTCTGGAAAGGCTTCCGTTCTTAGATCTGCAAGTCAGGAGTTTTCGGGAAACCGGAGCCGGGAGGGAGAGTCCGGTTTCCCCGCGTAGGCAGGCCGGCGGGGACGGCTGCGCTCCCTCGAGGCTCGGGGGGGCGGGGCAGCCGGGAAGGCCCTGGAGCTGGGCCCGGGCTACACAGCGCGAGGTGCGGGCGACGGCGCGGACGGGGCTCCAAGGACGCGGGCGGGGCGGGGGCGGGGCTCAGGGGCACTGTGGTCAAGGCGGGGTCCGCCTGGGAAGGAAGGCGGCCAGAGAGACCCACAGCGAGGAACCAGTGACTCCACGAGTTCTTCCTCGAGTCACCCGCCTAGCTCTCGGCCAAAATCCCCTACTAGCCGGAAACCTCCCCGCCTCCCGGGAGCGCCAAGCCAACCAGGAGGCGGCCGTCGTGTGACGTTAACGGTTGTCAGGCAGACCTCCCAGGAACTCTCAAGAACCCCGCGAAGTCGTTTTGGGGCCAGTACCTCCGGCTGGCCGCCTGAGGGCTCAATTCAGAGAGAATGACAGAAAGACCTAAACAGAGGAGTGTAGAGACCCAAATAAATAGAAGGGAAAGCAAGGGCGAGGTGGTGCGGAAGAACTCTAATTGGCCTCAAAGGGAAAACACAGAAATTTAAACGGACACCCCCCTCCACCCGGGCCTGCTTCTCTGGGTTCTTCTTTCGGCATTCAGCGCTCAGCCAGGGGTGGCCGCAATTGCCTCTCTGATCTCCGTTCTCATCTTCCCCTCTCTGTCAAGCGGTGGCTCACAGCCAGTGCAGCGAGACGCGGCCTTCCCTGATAAAACGTCTCAAGACACCTACACTTTGTGTACCTTTATTTCTTTTTTATTTGAACTCCGCATTTAAGTGATGACGACAGCTTTTGCAGAAAGCACCTTTTTTATAGGAGGCGGCCTGGGCTGTGCAGCCCCTTTCTCCCAGGGCAGGTCTCACAGTATGGCCTCTGCCACTTCCTGCCCGCCCCCACTTGGACCGCGGCCCTGAGGCCCTTCCTCCCCTGGCCTTCCTGAGGGTGAAGTCAGGAGATGGGTTACAACAGTGTTGCCAGGCCTTCTGAGGTCCTTCTCCTGCTCTCCAGCTTTCCCAGAAATACAAACCCAGCTGTGATTGCTCCACTCCTTCCCCAACTTGCCTGGACCTCTGAGTCCTGGGTTCCAGGGATCCTGCTGAGAGCTCCCACAATTCCTGCAGCTCAAGCTAGGTTTGCACAAGGCTCAAAATGCAGAATGCTTGGGGGCCCAACAGGCAACTAGGCTAAGTCCCAGGGCAGCCTGGAGAACAAACGTCCCACTATGAGGGGCCCTGTCTAGCTCCAGCCTCTCCTCACCAAAACCCTGGCCCACCGTGGCTGGACTAGCTAATTATACAAACCCTCATGTTAAAAGGCACACCGGTCCCCAGCACTCGGGAGGCAGAGACGGGATACTTGCGAGTTAAAAACTAGCCTGGGCTACAAAGTGAGCTTAAGACCAGACTGAACTGCATAGTGAGACCCTGTCTCCAAAAGACAAAAAAGAAGAAGAAGAAGAAGAAAAAAGTCCGGTTGGCAAACAGGGTTTTCCCTCCAAAGTACTTCAGTGAATTGAAGAAGACATCAGCACAGTTGCTCACTCTGGGTGCAGGGCTGACAACTGGGTTAAAAATGTCATGGTTAGGGGCCAGGGAGATGGCTCAGTAGAATACGTGCTTGCCTGGCAAGCACAAGGGCCTGAGTTCAATCCCTGGTTCCGAAAATACAATAACAAAAAAACCCACTGTGTCTTGGTTGCTTTAAAAAAAAATGTCGTGGTCAGACCCTGGGGTGGTGGCACACACCTGTAATCCCAGCCCTCTGGAGGCTGAGGCAGGATGATCTCTTGTGAATTTGAGGCCTAGCCTGGGCTACATAGTGAGCTCAAGGACGGCTTGGAATACACAGTGAGACAGAGTCTAAAAAAACAAAAAATGCTGTAGTAGGGAGAATTGCTGGCTGCCAAGAAATCAGTGGCAGATCTTTGCTAGGGGTATACAGAAGGTATGCCGGGAAGGCAGGATCTCCATGAGAACCTGGGCTGCTAGGGGGCCGTTGTAATTGGAGGATCCATAATGTGATAAGGGAGTCCTGGACTGAGTCTCACGGAGCCCCCCCCCCCAGCCCGGACCTGACAAGTCACTTCAGACATGGCCAAAGGATTCCAGAGGAAGGATTCCAGAGGCATCCTAGACGGGATTGCAGAACTCTAGATACAAAAAGCTGGAAATGGAGCGGTTCCAGAGTATGTGGGAACTTCAAAGATGACAAGAAGTTCTAGGAGGACATGAGTGACAAATCATAGGGATACAGCACTGAGAACACAAAGGGTTCCCAGAGGGCCCCAGACATAACTAAGACAGCTCTTATCCAGCAAAAACTCAAGACAAAAAAGGAGAATCCAGGTTCACTGTCCTCCTTCATGCAGCACAGGGCTAGGGTTGCTGGTAGCCTTCTCTGGGGCAGTGATCTGTGGGTGCCCCATCCTGGTGAGATGGAGGGTTCGCAGACACACAAGGGACCTCAAAGAGGTCCCTGTCCTCGGATATCCCAAGAGGATCCCCGAGGTTCTTGAAGTTCTGGAAGCACTGCCCCCTACACACACAGAGTAGAGTGGTCCACGAGTCCTGCGACCCAAACCACGACGATCCCGCGGATCCCGTGCTGGACAGCGATCCTGGCGACGCCAGTGGCCTGGACCAGCTCAGGCGCGGTGCGCGACTGGCAGCAGCGCGCTGTCGAACTGGTAGGTGAGCTTGCGCTTGACCTTGCGGATCTCGCCGGTCTTGGCGTAGTTGCGCAGAGCGCGCGCCAGCTTCTGGTAGGTCATGCGCTTGCGGTTGCCCTTCTGCTGGCCCCAGCGGCGCGCCAGGAGCTCCTTGTGCTTCGAGGAGAACTGGAAGACGCCGGCGCCCGGCTCCACCCACCACACGCATTCGCGCATGTCGCCGCGAGTCAGCAGCCCCAGCAGGAACTGGTACAGGCGCAGCTTCTTGCGCGCCCCTGCAGCGGTGAGGAAAGGGCGTTAGGGGGCGCTCCTGGGCCCCCTCCTGGGGTCCACCCCCAGGCGCGTGGGCGGGCGGAGGGGGTGAGAGGTGAACCCGGCTCTGTCCAAAACCCCGGCACAGCACGCCCCCCTCCCTGAAGCTGGAAGCTGCAGAACCCCCACACTGTCCCTGTTTGTGCCCAGGGCTGGTGGCGGCAGCAAGTGGGGAGTCAGCAGCTCTGGAGCAGGTGTGGATCCACTGGGCCGTGCTCCCAGCCCCTCCGCCCCAGGCCGCATGGGGTCCCGGAGCGGCCAGGGCGCCTGGCTCCCGGGCTCTCCGAAGCAGCAAGGGCTGCACAGAACAGGGGGTTTCAGAAGAGGCCCAGGAAACAAGAGCGCCATGTCTGCCGTCTTCCAGCTGTGTGACCTTGGCGTGCCAACGTCCCTGAGCCTGAGCATGAGCCTGCTCAACCATAAAGGACGTGTGTGTGCACGTGCTTGCGTGCGAGCCTGGGAGAGCCCCCGCTGGCCACCTGTTGGGTGCTGTACAAGCAGGAGCTCAGCTCACCACCCTAATCCAGGAGACAGGGATGACAACAGAAACGCTGCCCATTGATGGGAGGGAAACTGAGGCCTGACAGGTAAAATCACTGTCACAGCCTTCCGTGTTAGCAGACAAAACGGAGCCACACAGCGGCAGATATGCCTCTCCAAGGCCACAGGGCCCTCAGAGCCACAGAACAGAGGCCCCTCCCCTACTCGCCAGGTCCCCTCCCTTCCTCTCCCCGCCCCTCCCCCACCTACCTGCCTCAGAGCCCCTCCCCTCGGGGCTGCTCCCGAGGACCTCTTCTGACTCGCTGTCTGAGACCTCCAGGGCGGGGCTGTCCAGCAGCAGGTCCTCCTCCTCGGACAGCACAGGGCTGGGGTACGGGGCATACGCCAGGGGGCCTAGGGTCTGCGGGAGGCCCGGGTCACCACACAGCCAAGGTCATTTCCTCCTCCTCCTCCTCCTCCTCCTCCTCCTCCTTTCTTCTTGTTCGAGGCCCTCCCCACTCGGGTTCCTGTCTGCATGACCGGCCAGGGGACACCCATGCTCCTGCCCTGTGCACTGTGCGCACTGACCAGGCCAGTCTGAGCCGCTGTGCACTCAGTCTGGGCTCAACATACATTGTCAAAGGGAAGGGTCTACCTGGTGAGGTGGCTGGGGCCACAGGTTTGGTCATAAGATCCATTGGATAGACCGAGTTGTCCTGGCCCTCACCTGGCCAGTGAAGTCCTCCGTGGGATATGCGGAGAGGCCAGGCCCTGAGGTCTCCAGGCTGGGGGGCGGCTCAAGAGTCCCCGCAGGACTGTAGGCAGAGGTGCTGTAGCACAGTTGGGTGGCCTGGGGGTGTCCAAAGGTGGTCGCTGCAGGGTCGAAGGCTTCATAGGGGGCAGCTGGGATGGGTGGGGCCTCAGTCCAGCCCCACAGGGAGTCTGGGGAAGGACACTGGGTCAGAAGCCCATCCCAGCAAAGCTGGCACACAGGGATCATTGTGGGCTGTGCAAATGCCTGACCCCAGGATTTGCATGAGGAGCAGATGGGTGGGAAAGGAAGGGAAGGTGGCGGCCACCCTTCTCCTCTGAGCCAGGAGACCCAGTCCGGACCACTCACCAGGAACCCCCTCTGAGTCAGGGTAGCCAGAGTGCTTGCAGCTGTCCAGGTCATAGAAGACACCATCAGGGTACTGCTGGGGGGTGGGACAAGGTCACTCCAAGCTTTGGAAGACCCTCCCCTCCATCCCCATGGGAGACTCCAACACAGACAGGAAAAGGAGAGGAGAGGCTGCTGAGAACACAGAGGCAGAGACACGAGACAGGGCAGGAGAGATACAGAGACATGCCCCAAGAGGGGGACCAGCAGCCTGCTCCTGCTCTTCTGTGGCTCTCAGGACCTGGGTGCCATCAGCAGGTCACCAAGCCAAAGTGGTGTGGAGGAGGCAAGAGGGGAAGAGGTCCTGGCTGGCCTTCTACAGCAGTACAGTCCCAATGCTTCTTCCTTTTGTTTTGTTTTGGGGTTTTTTGTTTGTTTGTTTATTTAGCCTAGGCTGGCCTTGAATTCATGGAAGTCCTGCCTCAGCCTCCCGAGTTCAAAACTGAAAACAATGGATCTCTAGCCTCGCTTAACAGCCCAGGTGTGCAACAGTAGGACGCTGGAGAAGCAAACTGGTATAACCAGCGTGTGGAGTACTACGCAGCAAGGCAAAGCAACAGACCCTTAGCACCCAGAGTTGAGGGAAGGATCGTAGATCCCAGTGGAACCCAGTGCATAAGTTACTTCATATAAAGTTCAAAAGCAGGCAAAAACTGGGCATGCTGGTGCACACCTGTGATCATAGCACTCTGGGAGGCTGAGGCAGGAGAATCACAAGTTGAAGCCCAGCCTGGGCAGTAATGAGACCCTGTCTCAAAAAGGGGATGGGTGGAGATATAGCTCAGTGAGGCATGAAGGCCCTGGGTTCATTCCTCAGTACCGCAAACAAACTGCAAAATAAACTGAGGTGCAAAATATTTGAATGGGGGATTGTCTGGGCAAGAAGGGATGGAATGTTCTAGAGTCATGGAACGTTCTGGATCTGATTAGTGGTCCCACAGCTGAGTGCACAGTGCAAAAACTCCTGGCTGTGCACTTAAGAGGGGTCTCTGTGGCTTGGGAGCTGCACCTCAAGTCAAACAAACCAACCAGTAAGCCAGGTGTGCACATCTGTACTTCCAGGTGTTCAGGAGGCTGAGGCAGGAAGATGGAAAGTTTGAGTCCTGCCTGGGCAACTTAGCAAGGCCCTGTCTCAAAAATAAAATGCTTTCATAAGCTGGGAATGTAGCTCAGTGTGAAGGCCCTGGGTTTAATCTTCAGTACTACAAAAAAACACAAGGAAAAAAAACAAAGAAAAATCAACAAAACCAGAGGCTGGGAGAGAACGGTGGGAGGGCGCTGGAAGGGGGTTTCTCCTGATCAACTTAGGGAGGTTTATCTGTTGCACTAGGATGTGGCTCCCGGAGGTTGTGTGTAGTTTCCCGTGGGTCTGAAACATTACAGGATAAAAATTTATAAACAACCCACCCCTCCCACTCCCCCCCAAAAAAATGAGGGCAGGAAGAGGATGATTGTGAGATGAGGGACAAGACACACGGGGTCACAAGGAACAGGATCTCAGAGCCCAAGAGGGAGATGCGAGAAAAAAGATCTGTGATAAGCAGGAAGGGGAAACTGAGTCAGGGAGGCAGAGCCCACTCTGGGGGAGATCACAGTGGGTGTCCCCCCCTCCAGCCCCCCAGGCCCAGGGACCTCAACTCACCAGAAAGCTGAAGTGGGGCCCGTCGAGCCTGCAGGGGGAGAGACGCAGGGGCATGTCAGCACCGACCTTGGCCACCTGGGCCGGCGGGAGGAAGCAGCAGCTGCGACCACCGCAGATCTGCACACTGCTGGGTGTCCCTGCCTGAGACCAGCCTCACCACCGGGACAGGAAGTGGGGGGCAAGGGCCAGGCAAATGTCCCCCCCTTCTCGGGATTTGCATAGATAGATGGGGGAGGTGGGGAAAGTGAGGGGGAGAAAGTCCCCTGGGAGGCGTGTGGGCAGGGTGGAGGGGCAGGCAGCAGCTGGCATCTTTGTGGGTCCAGGGAGAGCAGAGGAAGATGTGGACCCCAGCATGGGCACAGGGAGGCAGAGGTAATTTGGGGGCCCCAGGGGTGGAGACAGGAGGCTGAGGGCAGGAGAGGGAGCCAAAGGCCAGAAAGAGGGACCCACAGAGGAGGAGGATGGAAGCGCCAAGAGGGCAACGCAGGGGAACACGGGCAGAGGAGACAAGCGGGTGTGCCCTGGAAACAGGACCCTTGGGGACCTGGTGGCAGCAGGCTGGGAGGTTGATGGAGCCAGTGGTGGGTCCTCCTACTAGTGGGTGGGGCCCCCAGGCTGGGAAGGCAGGTGGGGGGTCCTGGGTGACTGGGGGCACTTACTGCGAAGCCTCCAAGGCGAGCATGGTGCCGTGGGGCGCTGGGCTTGCTGTGCGGCTGTGGTCGCCACCCCTATATATATATATATACCTTGGCCCAGCCCCGGGGAGGGGCAGGGGCACTGGGCCCTCCCCAAAAATCCCCTCAGGGAGGGGGCTGGATTGCACAATGTTGATCACGTGGCAGGGAGGGTGGGCCCTGCCCTGAGGATTTGGGGATCCCCATGGTTGGGGGCAGGGATGGAGGAGCCGACCTTGAGGGGTGGAGATGGCTCAGGAGCTCGATTTGGGGGAGATCCTGGAAAAGGAAGGGTCTGGGTGGCTACTGGTGAGACGAGGAGAGCTGGGCTGAGGTGGAGTGTCGCCCCACAGTGAAGGAGGCCGCAGGACCTGGGGGCGGCTGTGAGACCCATGGGGGCCACACAGGCGGGGTGGGGAGAAGCCCAGGCTGCACTGACCCTCAGGACCCCCAGGTGGAAACATCTGTGGGTGTGACATGGCGGGGAGGGGGGTCCCCTCCACCTGCGCCAGCTGGGGAGTGGAAGTGTCCTGCCTGCCAGGGGCTGCCCCAGGCCCAGCGGAAGCCAGCAGCATCCGGCCGAGGAGTGGCCACGGAGCCCCCAGGGAGGCCAGACACCTGGGCAAGGCAGAGTCCTGTGGAGACACCCACCCAGTGCCCGATGGATAGGGCAAAGGAGAAACTGAGGCAGGCTAGGCTGTGAATGGCCTGTCAGCAGAGACTGGCACCTAGGGATCTCTGAGGAAGGTGAGGAGGGGGGTGACGGCCTGGGAGAAGCCACGCTGGGATCGTGAAGCTGGACCTTGTAGCCAGGTGTGGTGGTACACACCTGTCATTCCAGCACTAGGGAGGCTGAGGCAGGAAGACACACAGGTTGAGCCTAGCCTGGGCCACTCAGTAAGACCCGGTCTCAAACATGAAAAGGTAAAGAGGCTGGGATATACCTTTGTGTGGAGGGCCCCCAATGCAATCCCCACTAAGGAAAAATAAAACAAACACTGTGACCCTTTCCCCAGAGACCACAGAACACAAGAGTAACAAAAGGCCAGAATTTTATTACTCCCTCACCCCATAGGCGCTTCCAGTCACCAGGCCTCAGGCCCTGGGGGCCCGAAGCGGCGCAGCAGCTTCTCCTGGTCCTCCAGGTCCTTCCGCACCTTCTTGCGCATGTAGAAGATGGGGCAGTCCCGGCTGTGGAGCGGGAGGGCGCGGTCAGCGAGCGCCCATCTAGGGCTGGGGGCTGTGAGCACCGTCTCCAGAGCGCAGGCTGTTCCCAGGACTTTGGCCCCCGCCTGCTGCCCACCCTCCTGTGGGGGCTGTTTGCTCAGCGGGCATGGAGGGGGCAGATAACAGGGGTGCCCGGTGAGGCACGGGTGGCCGTATATCACCTGTCACCTGGCGTGGGAACCCGCCCCGCCCACCTGTTCCCTGGGGAAAGCCCGGCCCCACCCAGGGGGAGGGGAGCAGCCTGGGAGCTTGGCCAGCTCTGGGCACACTCAGGGGACCCCGTCCCACTTTGTGCGCGCGGGGGTGGGGGGGGGTGGGGAAGGGGCACTCTGGCGGGTACCCTGGAGTGTGATCCCCAGCCCCAGGCTGGACAGGTGTAGCCACCAGCAGGCACCCACCTGGTGCAGATGACATCCTCGTGTAGGCTGCCCTGACAGCGCTGACACTGGGTCCAGAGGCGAGCGAAGCGCTCCTCCAAGGCATTCAGGTGGGACACCTGGGGGTGGGGTTGGGTGAGCATCCTGCCCCCCCCTCGGCCTGTCCCCCCCCCCCCCCCCCCCGTTAAGGTTGCTCACCTCCTTCTGGTACAGCTCTGACTCCCGAGGCTGGCAGAATCTGCACACAGCTCCTGGGGGTGGTCAGCACAGGATGCCGGGGCTGAGCCAAGCTGGGCCACGCCACCCCTGCTCCTTCCCCGCCCGCTGCCCATCCCCGCTGTGAAAGTCCCAGGAGGCTGAGAACAAGGGAGCAAGTGTCGTGGGGAAAACTCCCCTGGGGAACTCCAGGAGGGCGAGGACCCTCGGGTGGGGGTACGGGCCGAGGGCACCCCGACCCAGACAGTGCTGGGGTCTCACCCTCGTGGTTGAGCACCGTGCGGCAGCCGATGCAGCTGCTGCGGCGTGTGGCGAAGGCCAGGAGGCCGCCCACCTTGCCCGTGAGCACGGTCTTGCAACGCGTGTGGTCACCGCCTACAGAAAGAGGCACGAGGTGAGGCGGGGCTTCTGCAGCCCCCCCAAGCTCCCAAGCCCCCCAGCCCATGGACGGGACAGGCATACGCAGCAGAACAGACTCGGCACGGCCCTCGCCCAGGATGGGCTCGAAAATGCGCAGCAGCGGCTTGGCGAGCTGCTGCTCCAGGTAGTACTGCGTGTCGATGGGCAGGCTGTGCTCCAGCACAAAGAGAGGGTCCTGCGGGCATGGGTGCAGCCGTGTCACACGCAGCAGGCGGGGTGCGCCTGGGGCTCGAGGGTTATGAGCGGGGCAGGGACTGGGTGTGGGCACCATCCATCCCAGGCTCCCTTATGGCTGGGATGGATTGGGGATGGGGCCAGAGGTCACGGGGAGCCCGGCTTGGTCCGAACTCCATACCCCTTGCTAGGGGCTCAGGTCACAAAGAAGGGCAGTCATGGGAGAAGACCAGGCTGGAGAGGACTGTAGGGCACAGAGCACCCGGCTGGAGACAGGCTGTGGGCGGGCTGAGCAGGGAGGAAGAGGGGCGTGCTTGGGGCCCGGCCCGCCCACCCTGGAAAACGGAAGTGAGAGCTGGGGCGCAGCCGCCCAGGTGGGCCTCACCTCGGACTTCATGTAGGCGGCCACGCCCTTGGCCGCACCGATGATCACGTAGGGGACGCGGTCACCTAGGCTGGGTGCGCTGCCGGGGTCCCGCTTCCTCATCCTGCGAGACAGGGAGGCAGGTGGCAGGGTGAGGGCCTGGGGGAGGGGCCACAGAAGTGGCTCGCGGGCGAGGGTCCAGGTGGCAAACCTCTCCGCCAGCTCCACGTGGGCCTGCTTGCCCGCGTAGTCGGCCGCAGCGCGCGTCAGCTCCTTGGTGATCACCAGCTGGGAGATGTCTATGCGGTTGCACAGCAGGTCTGAGATAATGTCCTTGGCGTGGGCCACGGCACCCTCTGGGTCTCTGGGGAGAGCGGCAGTGTCACCAGTGGGTACAGAGGCCAAGTGGAAAGCAACACCAACCCTGGGGGACCGAGGGCAGGTGGCTGCAAAGCGCAGAGCCGGAGCCACAGTTGTGTGACCTCGCTCACCACAGCCTCCCCACCCAGGAGCACATCTGTGATCCCACCGGCGGGCTTGGGGCCCTCACCACTGGGCTCCAGAGAAGGCCGGGCGGGCCCAGAGCTGAAGGGGTCCACGCACCGGTCAATGAGCAGGCGGCGCAGAGAGGCGGTGACAAGGTTGGCCACAAGCGGGCAGTTGTCCCTGCGCACGGCCTCCAGGCCCTTGCAGTCCATGCGGTCGTGGCTGTCGGGCCGAGAGGAGAAGAGGAGGCCTGCGTAGCGCTTCTTGCTGATGAGCAGGTAGGGGAAATAGACCTGGCAGGGACAGGGACGCCAAACCCTGAGACTTGGGGTTTCGGTCCCCATCCTGAGGCTTCTCCCAGACAGGGCAGGCAAGAATGGTCCCTGAGATAGGGCTGGGTCACTCGGAGCTCCAAGCCTATGGAGAGGGACCCTAAGGTGGTCCCTGATTACCTCAGTCACCCAGGGATACCAGGCGCCAATGTGAAACAATAGGACACAACCTTGAGGTACACCCAGACAGGAAGAGACAACAAAGATCCCCTAAGAGCGGAGATCACAGCGGTGCTCCAAACCTGCAGGCAGAGTACTGGGGTGTCTGAGCCACGGAAGGTGGTGGGGATTGTACAGCCTGGGGCTACTGTATCAATGACCCCACCAATGGCAAACCCCCACCCCCTCCAGGCTTACAAAACCCAGACAAAACCCAGACGCTGCAGTCTAGTGTAACAAAGCCTGGTGCTTGGGACATTTCCAAAACTCTGCTCCAAAGTTGGGCACCTATGCAGCAGAATGCCGAGCCAGGGGCTCTTGATCCAGGGGACTCCAATTTAAGCACCCAGAGCACAGAAGCCTTGAGTGACAGCAGGGGAACCGCAGCTCCCCCCACCCCCCCCCCCCCGCCACTATGAGGTGCCCCAGCCCCAGAGACCTGAAGCCTGGAAGACCCTGCGCACCTTCTCAAACTCCAGTCGGATAGGTGAGGGGAAGTGGCCAGATACCCAGTTCGCGGCCTCGCGCCCCAGGTCCATCGCCTCAGCCACAGAGGAGACACCAAACCGGCACATGACAGAGTCTGTGTCGCCATACACCACCTGGGCAGGGACATGAGGGATCCCTCACTGCCAACCAGGAGCTGATGCCAAACGGGCCCAGAACACAGCAGCGAGGGGCATGGTGTGGGGAGGCAGGACTGTGGCTGTGGCCCTGGCCCGCTGGCGCACTCCCCAGCCTGCCCCAGACCTTTCTTGGGCAGCAGAGCAGCCCTGACCTTGGCATCGTTGCTGTAGCCGTTCTCCATTGTGTACTTGGACTCCACCAGCTGCTTGGTTTTCTCAATCATTTGACGTCCAAACCCGGTGACGCTCTGTGTGACACAGAAGCCACGGTGTGGTCACATGGGGGCCCTGAGCTGCTCCTAAAGGTCTGTGACACATGCAGGTCCCAGCCCAGAGTGCCAGGCAGGAGCTAACTGCACAGTGAGCCAGGGGAAGGCTGTGGCTCATGTGTCCCCACCGTGATGTCAATACTGCCTAGACCACGGACATCCCTGTCAGCAGGGACACTCCCACCCAGTGCAGTGGGCCAGGACCCACTTCCATGGTGACACAGGCCCCTAAGGCCCCAGGGTCACACACAGGGAAACCATTGCACCCCACCTGTATTTCACAGATAAGAAAACTGAGGCCGAGCACGGGGCGCTCGGCCATGGAGCCTCAGGCGTGGCTCTGGTGTAGGCCCAGTCAGATAATCTTTACC